CTCTTTCACTCAACTGGATTTTTATTGTGTTTACATGAAAAATTGGGACTTTTCGTGCCAATTGCATGCATGTGGCGCGGTTAAATGCACGCAGATTGCTAAATACCTCGATAAAATGACGTTTGTGTACGAAAGTGATGCCAAAAAGTTTAACAAAATCATGGAAAATTACCATACATTATTTTTAACAATAGGCAGGTATCCAATTACAAAAATGAAAACAAAAAATCTGAATAACAATGCGATTATCACGCTTTGCTGTGAATTCTACTCAAAGATAAAATACCTGAAAAAATTAAAATTCGTCAAACTTGAACCGCATACCTGAAATTCAATGCAAATACTGCATAATCGCAGCCCAACAAAACACAATTTTGAATATTTTAAAGTGCTCATTGCAAAAATACCTGACTTTTTCGTAGCGGCTCTAATTTTTTTAATTCACTTGTTTTTAATTGGATTATTTCTTTTTATCTACAGTTCACGGAATAAAGCACATTAAAAGGTTTTTAAAAATATTTGAATTTTCCTTTTTATTTATTTCATTTGTATTTAACATTACATAATCTTAAATATTTTCATCAAATAAATTGTGAAATATCCAAGAATCGCTAGTGGGCCTTATTACCCGCACTTACCTTAGTAATTAACTAAAAACAGTTAAAAAATCTCGTTTCGACGACACTCGAAGTTAATTCTCGCTATAAATCATCGCACCCTCTTAATTTAAATCACTAGTTCGCATGTTGAAGCAAAGAAGTAAATTTCCTGTCGCAAGATGTTCAAAAAAGCGAGTTGAACACACCTAAACAAATGACTTGGATGACATTGCGTGGACACGCGTCATTAGGGCACCAAAATGGAATTTAAAAGCTGTTTGTTTTGTTTGGTTACATAAGTTGTGGCTTAATTATTTTAATTGCACGAATTTTGTCACTTTCACTATCAAATTCAGACAATGTCTTGATAATTGGAATGATTGTCTTGGCAATAATAAACTCACAAATTCATGTAATCTATTTTCACTTTGAACAGAGTGCAATTTTTTCAAGATCAAAGATCGGCGACCGTTGGCCATTATTTAATTAGCAGACTTTGACGTTATTACCACAATTTGTGGCACGATATAAAACGCATCGTGCATGCATTAATCGATTTCGAAAAAAATTACCTTCCATTGAAACTAATGTAAATCACGTATGTTTGCTTATTCAAAGTCGGAGTTTGGATATAAATCAAATCGACGAAACTCCATCAATGTCACGACATTTACTTCATGAACAAAATTCGGAATGTATACAGTGGCACACACATCACCCTGTTTGAATTATAGCTTCATTAATGTTTATAATTACGATGTTAGACATGTTTCACTGAATGGGTTGTAAATCAGGTCGCGCACTCGGCTAGAAGACAGCACGGGATTAATTGCCCTTATGGAGTCGTGGGACACCGAATTCATTCAAAAAAAAAAATATACCAAAAGAAATAAACTCATAATTTTCATTTCTATTTGAAAAATGAAATCGCAAACCTTCAACTCTTAATTAATTAAAATTAATTAAAAAATCCATTGATCTTTGAATGGTACCGGCACCAGTAACTACTACCAGTAGCACATGATCACCTTGATTGATAAATTTGATCACTTTCTCTGCATTATCAGTTCAGGAAAGTTTTTTTTATTATAGACAAACCAGATTAACTCATTAAAACTGAGCCTAATTCGCAGTAAACTGTTGACTTTTCGTCTTTCTGATAGCCCTAAGAGACCACCCAACCAAAATTTTATCCCTCTATTTATGTTTCTAAACTTATTCACCCTCTTGGCAATCCCGAAAATTAGGTTCCACCTCATTTCACGTGTGTAACAAAATACAATCAAATTTTATAACACCAACAATAATCCATTACCGATCTAAAAGTAGGCTTATGGACATACCTATTCCCAACAAGCAGAGCATAAAAACAGGAAACTTTAGCTTATCATAACTACGATTATCCCGACATTAATTTCCGTAAGAAAATGTTTTCATTAAAGCCCGAAATTGTTTCTTTTGAGTATAAAAATGATGTAGATAGTATAATTTCCAGGAAGTTCTAAACCACAGAAACAAAAGCCGATTATCTAATTTCTGTTGTAATTCGTACACATTAATTACAATTAAACGATAATTACGTCGAAAATTCTTGTCCTTGCGAAAATTAGCACAACACTAATGCACGCTAATAAATATTACAAGCATGGCTAATTATTTGAAAAAAAAACATGATAAGGAATATTTATTGTAAATTCGTGCAGTTAATAAAGAAAATGTTTAAAAAAATGTTTTGTCTAATTTTACGACGAAGTTTTACATACATTTTTAACGTTTCTCTATTACACGATGAGAAACTAAAGTCTGATGTTTTACGGTCCTTTTAATTACAAGTTTTTTCTTATCTAATTAATTTGTAATTAGAACCGAACATATAAATCAGTCCAGAGATTAAATTTTAAATAGAGAATAATCTGAGTAAAAGCAGATGTAAATTAATAATTAAAAAATATTATTAGACGATACTACAAGTGTGGGACAAGCAAAAGTAGCTCGTATCAGTGTCACTGATAATTGTATTATTTACTCGAACTCATCAAGGTCAAAGAAAATGTTTTTTTTTTAATAAATAAGTGATTGAAGACGACGCAAAAACGCATCCCTTGGACAATAACCCCCAGATTGCTCCAATTATCTTTGAATAATGCAAAACATTCAAAACCCAGCAACAGGAAGTGATATAATAACATCAAGGATAATCAATGGTCAGCCCCTTCGTAGGCCCGCCTCGAGGCCCTCAAGTCTATTATCCCAAATTCACTTATGTAAATAGGGGTCTAAACAAAGTTCAATCACAACATAAAGCCTGATATACAATCAGTGGGATCAAAGGCCACGGGGAAATTACCTGAAATCGTTGCATTTTCATAAATTCTCGCACCTCGTCACGTGTGTCGTTTTTGTTTATTTATTCGCGTGCTTTCAGTCAGAGAGCGCACACCCACACCTCGCCACTTTCAGCACATGACTGAAGTTTGTTTGCATTTGCGGTACTTCAGGAGTTGCCGCTGAGCGCCTGCTACGACGCTCCGCCTCCGCCGAGTGTCTCAAACACAGGTTTAAATAATCTATTTTCATTTATTCTTCACTTTTAAAACAAAAAGTACGAAAATACAGAGCGAAAAATAGTCAAAAAATTGTGGTTTTATCGCTGATGGATTGGGGAAGTGATGCGTCGCGACGCCAAATCGAGTAATTCCCCCGCAAAGTTTTCTAATAAACGTGACACGAAGACCGGGATTAGGACACGTTATCGCGGATTTAACTTTGATTGTAATTTGGTGTGGCCGACTCGTTCGAAGTGCTGCGCTCCTGGTAGCAAGAAGCCAGTTTTGTTACATTGTTCGGGTCATGTTCATCATTCAACAAGTGGCATGAGAGAATTCCGCTACCCTCTTCTGTTTCTGGAGTTCTGTTGTACGAAATGCTACGAACGGCACAGGCATGCATTCCGGGAGAAAATGCAAAAATTCGGATATTGATCGGGAGAAAAATGCCAAAGATGAGAGGAAATTGAGAGAGGCGGCTGATGGATCAAACGTCGATTTGAATTTTGCAAAGTGGGATAAGGAAGGACGAGTGTGGGGTTGTTAAAGATGAATTATGGGAACGGTGTGGTTGGTTACAAGATTGGTGGAAAAATAATCAAAGGTTGGATGCGGGCCAAGTTATTTCGTAAAATGAATTTTTGAAATTAGGAAATGGACCGATCAAATTTCAAAACGCAACGCACCTTACGCCGGTGTAGCTGAGGTTGCATAAACAATCCTAGAAAATTTTGATAAACCCTAGTTTTAAAGAAAAAAAAATGTTATAACTAATTTTTGACACAAAAACGGTTAACTTAGTTACACTAAATGACTTTGAAATTAAGTTGGTAACATAAAGTGTCAAATTCACTCGACACATTTTTATTGTCAATTATCAAAGAATTATCATTCATTTGGGAAGGGCGGCCGTCATTTGACACAATCTGATATCATCATAATTCGTTGCTGCCAACTTATAACTTTACATAAGAAAAAAATGTGTCTTATTCTTTTTTTACAATTAAATTTCCAAATTTATGAAGAATGAATAAACGTTCTGTTCTTCTCTGTATTGCTTCTTTTTATTAAAAACAATTTAATGAACTTTTTGAAGGATATAAGGAGATTTCTGATCTTTATAATGACACTTTATTGCCAATATAGAAGCGCTAAACTGCCCTAGCTTATTAAGTCACTCAAACGGTTGCTTTAAAAGTGTCACTGTAACGCAACATAAGGAAACTTAAAAATATGTAATAAAATTACTTTATCGCTTGTAATTTTTTTAATTTAATTTAATAAAATTTAACCACCGCGGCGTGACGTTTAATATTGAAGAGTTTATGGATTTAATCCACTTGTTCCACGCAAAACCTATAAAAGTGCAATTTTAAAACTTTTAGTGTTCATAAAAAATGCAAACTGCCACACTTTTCAATGCAGTAATTTAAACAATCGTGTTTTCAATAAAACCCGCCGAAAATAGGATTGACGTTGTAAAGTGCAGCGATAAACGCCTCATTCTCGCCGTTTATTATTTTCCGATGGAAAGTGTTGCAGTTATTTTTAATGCGTCTTAGGTAATATATCACTTTCCACCCTTTCGACCACTAATCTTCGCCGTTTCGTGGCCCTATAAATCCTCATTTTCGTTCATTTTTTCCAAGATTAATGATGCGTTTAGTGTGGTGACTTTATAAATATCGTGCCAAAATTTTGAGATAAATTTCGGGCAATATTTCCTCGCCCACAGTTCATGATTGTAAAAATGCACTGTTTGTAAGATAAAAGCGCTCTTTGTACTATGCGGTCCACGTTTGGCTGATTTCCCTCAGGTAATAAGCCCGCCGAACGAAACAGAAAAATCAAACTCTCCAATACAACTATTTTTATTAAAAAAGAAACATACATTTTGGTTGTATTACAAAATAATCTAAAAAATATTAACTAAAGTGTATATATGTATACAATAATATATAGTTTCTATAAATTTATAATTACTCTCGAAGATTTACAACTACAAATACTTTTCGGGTTATTTTACATAATAGTTATGTACAAAAAAGCATTTGTAATTATAACAATTTTTCTACAATGTAACTAAGTCAAAAAACATCCAGTAACAATTAACAAATAATTGTTACATTATCTAATAACAAATTTACATCATTTTTAGCATAATTCTCCTATATTTATGTACAAGCAAGCTTCATAAAACTCGTCACTTGAACGGTAAAAAATCAGATCTGTGCAAAAATCAAAAAGTGTTTTAAACACATCAATCAGTCCGTCATTATTATAGCACCAAAAAAATTAATATCAAACTTGTAAAAATCAAGTGACGCACTAACCCTAAAAATTGGTCGTGAATACACACAATAGGCCCGCATAAAAATTATTTATCACATAAGATACTATAGATAAAAATTCCACAATTTAGCTGCTTAAGAAGAAAATAAGTACAAAAATTCAACTGGCCTCGTCGATATACTCGTTAGTCATGTTAAAATCTATTTACAACATAAATCGCTAAATATACAGGGTGTACACTGGGATTCCCCAAACCGTCATGGCATACTTTAGAATATCATCGCAAGTGTGTCACTTGTCATTCTCTTAACCTACTCGAGGAGGGAATACTGCTTCAAGGATATGGCAATACAAGGAACTACCTAACCTCACAATATCACACTAATAACTAGCCAAGACATTACCGTTGGCGGTAGGCACAACCACCGGATGATTGCTCGGCGGATGCATCGGCATTTGCGTCACGATATTACTCGACACCGTTTGCGTCTGACTCACTTGCGGTATTTGCAAATTTGCATTCGAAGTTTGAGGCTGATTTGTCGCCACTTGATCGCTAGCTTGGCCATTCTCCACTGTGTGTTTGCGCAAATGACGCAACATATTACCCTTTTCTACAAAAGTCTTGCCACAATCGGGACACGAATGGGGCCTTTCGCCGCTGTGGGACCTCCGGTGCGATACCAAATGTCCTTTACACATGAAATCCTTCTCGCACAAATCGCAACGAAAAGGCCTATCGGCCAGTGCGCCTTTATTATGCGACCTCTGATGGAACAACAAATTGCCCTTTAAAGGAAAAGATTTGCCACATTCGGTGCACGCGAACGGTCTTTCACCGGTGTGAGACCTCATATGGTTGATCAAATGTTCCTTTCGGGTGAAGGGTTTCGAGCAAACATTACAACAGTGTTGGGTTTCCCCCGTGTGTTGTCTTAAATGATTAGTCAAATGTTCCTTTCGAGTGAACGTCTTTTGACAAAACTCGCATCGGTGTGGGGATTCCCCTGTGTGAATCCTTACATGATTCGTAAGATGTTCCTTCCGGGTGAAAGATTTTGAACAAAAGTGACACCTATGAGGTGATTCCCCTGTATGTTGTCTCACATGATTGTTCAAATGTTCCTTTCGGGTGAACGATTTAGTACAAAAAGTACACTTATGGGGCGATTCCCCTGTATGTTGCCTTACATGATTGACCAAATGGTCTTTTCGGGTAAAAGCTTTAGGACAATAATTGCACCTGAACGGCGTTTCGCCGGTATGTTGCCTCACATGATTAATCAAATGTTCTTTTCTAGTAAACGACTTGGAGCAAAAACCGCAACGGTGCGGTGATTCCCCCGTATGTTGTCGCACGTGATTCAATAAATGTTCCTTACGTGTAAAAGTTTTGGAACAAAAATCGCACCGATGGGGGGTTTCCCCCGTATGCCACATGATGTGATTCGTGAAATGTTCCTTTCGCGTGAACGATTTGCCACATATCTCGCATCTGAACGGTGTATCATTCGTATGAGAGCGCATATGATTGGCCAAATGTTCCTTTCTCGTGTATTTCTTCCCGCAAATGTTACAATGATGAGGGGTTTCCCCTGTATGCCACATCACGTGATTCATAAAATGTTCCTTTCTCGTGAAACTCTTCTTACAAATTTCACAGCGGTGCGGTGTTTCTCCTGTATGTTTCCGCACATGGTTCACCATGTGTTCCTTTCGGGTGAAGGTTTTCGCACAATACTGACACCTATAGGGTGTTTCCCCTGTATGACACCGCGTGTGGTTATCCAAATGTTCTTTCCGCGCGAAAGATTTACCACAAATCGTACAGTTGTATGGTTTATCGGTCGAATGCCGTTTCATGTGACGCTCCAAAGATGCCGCGTTCGCAAACACGTGAAAACACGTAGCACACGTGAACATACTACCCCCTAGATGGCACTTCCCATGACGGGTGAGTTCTTGCGAATTGGTAAACGCTTTACCGCAAACTTGACACGTAAACGGTTTACGTTCGGTATGGTAACGTCTATGGACGATTAACTGGTAACGAAATTGGAACATTTTCCCGCATAAATCACAGACGTGGTTTCCTGTAATGACTGTAGCGGTGTTATCGGTCGGTAGTGTACTAGTCGAAGCTTCTTGCTCGTCTTTTGTTACTATAGCAATGTTGTTTGTGTTTTGTTGAAGATTTACATTCGTGTTAGTATTTTGGACGATATTTTGACCAGTTGTTGTTGCAATCTCACCTTGAAGTTTACCAAAAACTTCATGATACGCCAATAGTTGGTTCAAATCATCAACGTTCACTTTGTACATATTTTGCACCATTTCAACACCCAAAGTTTTTGCTAAATCTTGCTCTTGAAGATTCGTCGAAATCTTCACAATACTACCATCAGCAGTCCTCACATCCATCAAATTACCTTTATGGTCCTGCAACCCGAATTGCGCCCCAGATAATAACTTACAATTCTGTAAGTTTTTCTCGTCTTTTACAATCTGGATGTTATCCGAGAGTTGAGTCTGATCGGAATTTCCTTGATTTTGAGTGTTTTCAACTGAATTTTCCATCCGGACCTGAATTTAACAATTTACAAAAAACTTCCACACGTTTATTATCACTTACGACATTATCAAGAACCTGTTGCACTTGAAGATGTTGCAATTGTTGAACGGTTAACGCTTGTTGATTCAAGTGTTGATTATCGTTCAATTGAATCTGAGCATGGGCTAATTGAGCAGCAATTATATCTTTTTGTTCTTTGCTATCTTCAATCACCGAAACTAAATTATCTTGAACCTGGACTTGAACCATATTTTGTTGGTTGGTATGAGTTTGTTGCTGCTGTTGGTGGGTCATCTGCGAATCATTAAACACTAAACTTTTTTTCTTGCATTTTTTTTTACTCACATCTCGATTCATCTGATTCTGATTCATGGGATCGTTCTGCTGATGCCCTCCCATGCCTTGATGCCCCTGATGGTTGGCCTCCAAATGCATACTCCCCGTCGGTATCGACAAACTCGTAACTCCTTGCGATGTCGAAATACTAACCGGAATTTGTGAATGTTGTTGTAAGAGTAGCGGATCAGCCGGTAACAATCCCGCCGCATGTTGCCCCAACATAGCCTCCTGGCTTATCTTCCCTTGGTTATCACTACGTCCCGATCCCGGTAACCCATAGACGCTCACTTGGGGTATGGGTCCCGGGAGGAGATTCGTTAACACCCAGTATTTAGCCACGCTGGAAAGGGCGACGGCGTTCAGGGCTGTGGTATTCACACGAAGATCGGTCGGAATTGAAGTAGTCGGTGGTGGACGTTGGGTGGTGGCCTGGAATTTAATTCGGGTGGTCAGTTTTGATCGGTTGCGACGTGGTAATAACATGCACCCTCGAGTTTTGAGACATGCGGCAAACTTACTGACGGGTTTAACTTGAAATGTCACGGGTTTTGATGAGGATCGAGGTGATAGATCATCGAGATTAATAAATGTAACAGGTGATTGCGCCGTTACGGTTTTTATTCTAATTATTTTGGTCGCGTGCTGCCAAAACGATTTACTTTGACACGAGCGTGATTTATTTAGGTAACTAAATTTGAGACAAATGATTTCTTCTTAATAAGTCCAAGTATATTATGTAATAAACTTGTATTATATTATTTGTTATCAACTTATCAATCTATTGATAAAAAAAATAAATTCTAGATACATACAAGTCAGTTTATTGTCTTTAAAGTAATGACCCATAAATTCATGAAACAAACAGCAATTATAATACGTATGTTGTTTATGCATTCCGTATATTTAGTCGTATTGATGTCCACGATAACAATGAGTTGCCACAATTTGTAATTACATCTAATTAATTAATTTAGCACACAAAACAGAATAATCCGCCGCTCAACAAATAAGGAAACAAGAAATAATTTATTTATGTGAAATTAGGGCAATTAGTTCAATTTTGTTAATAAACCATTGAATATTTAAGAAAAAATAAAAATTCCATATACATACAGCGTGTCCCATGTATTAGGGCCGGCCTAAAAATAAATATTTCTAATTGATTAAAAAAAATTGTTAGTGCAAACGATAGAGGATTATATAGACTTCAATTTAGTGATCTTGATATTATTAAAAAATTTTAACGTATGGCAGTGAAATCACAAAAACCAAATTTGGATTAAAAAAAATCACTTAATTGAAATAATTTCTACATGAAAAAATTCCTTGATTTTTTCTAGTAATAATTGTGAAAATAGAATAATGCAAAAGTTGATAGGTTTTGAGTAATTGACATTTTAATATTGGAAATCTAAAAGTTCAAATAATTTATGATTGGATTTGTGGTAATTGGTGATCTATTGTCAATGCATTAGCAGCACATCATCCCAAACTTGGCCATAAATTACCAAAATTTCCAATTTTCAATATTAAAATGTTAATGTTAATTATTCAAAATCTATCAACTTTTACATTATTCAATTTTCACAGTTACCATTAGAAAAAATCAAGGAATTTTATCATGTAGAAAAGATTCCAATTAGTTTAAAAAAATCTAAATTTGGTTTTTAGGGTCTCACAGACATGCGCTAAAAATTTTAAATAATATTAAAGTACTAAATTGAAGTCTATGTAATCATCTATCGTTTGCATTAACAATTTTTTTTTTAATCAATTAGAAATATTTATTTTTGGGCCGGCCATAAAACTGGGGACATGCTGTACAAACGCTCATAAAGTGGCGCTTCAACGCAGAGAAGCGTATAATTGCGGACACGAAACGTTAGACATCAAATTTATGTTAGTTCAAAAAATGTCAATGTAAGTCATACTTTATTGTCATTATGATTGATGTTTGAAACTAAAAAAAGTTTTTGTTGAAATTTATTTTTGGCGTCGATTTTCTAATACAAAAATGTCAGCAATACGTGCTTTATATAAGTTCAATAAATTATTTTAGTTTGTTGTCATTTTTTCTCTAGCTGTCAGGATAAAAATTACAAAAACCGTAAGTGTGCTTAGTTACATAAGGCCCGTTTTATATTTTTATGTTAGTCGAATGACAACTCCAAAATTTCGTGGCCGCAATTATATCATCGTCAATTCTGCAAAATCTGCTACGAGCAAAAATTGCAATTTGTCAGAAAGTAAAAAAAAAGTTGCAAAAGTCAATCCTACAAACTTTCTTTGTTAAGTTGTTCAGTTCTTTATTATTTTGTTTTTGCATCTAATTTGTCTTTGGGTTTGAATTTTTAAAAAACAAAAATTCATCAAAATATTACCGTTTGCAGATATGACAACACTGTATATTAGCTGTCGTCATCGTGACGATGTTTATTCCCTAGGAAACTGCTACTAAGGTTTCAGGAATAATTAATTTAGACTGTTAATCAAATTGCAATGCCATTGGACGACGATGTCACATACTTTTCATAATTCGTTTTTACCAATATCTTAAATGTATAATATATTTTTTCAATACATATTTTTATTTGTACAGGATGTTCCATTTTTATTGTTATAAATTTAAACAGGTGATAGAATATTCAATTTTAAGACAAAATTGTCTTATGGACATGTATTAAAAAATGTTACGTAAGCGAGCTACACCCCTTGAAAGACATGCGTTTTTTAATGGGGTTTTCCACTATTGCAGAATAGATAAAATTACAAAAGTTGGTACAGCTGATAACACCTGAACGAATTCAAAGATCAGTTGTGAATATTTTTAATCGCGGGTGTCTTAAACGGTGAAACAAATTTAATTTTTAATTTTTATCCTTTTTATGGTCTGTAAGACAAATTGTAAACTGATTTTACTTAAAAACGGCAAGTTGAATCGAAAAAACGCAAGAGACCTCTTTTTGTAGAAAACTATGAAATTTAGAATTTTGTGGCTGCAAGTGCCACGAACCAACAGCCAAAAATAGTTAGGGTACTTTTACCCTATACCTCCCCAGTTTAGGACGTCCCTGAGTAAAAATTTCGACATTTTATCTTTGAATTCGTTTGGTTGTATAAAGGTTATCAGTTGTACCAAATTTTGAAAATGGTTTCTGAAATATTGGAAGAAATCCATTAAAAGATGCACCCCTTTCAGGGGATGTAGCTCCCTTATTTAGTACTTTTCGATACATGTTTATAGGAAACTTTTATCTTAAAATTGAATATCCTATCACATGCTTAAATTTGTAACAATAAAAACGGAACACCCTGTATATGTAAACATTTCTCTACCACTATTCACTGAGTTGGTGTACCACTTTTTGAGCACTCAGTATGTATCTCAAAGTGTTTTATTTAAATTAATAAATACAATTTAATTAAGTGGCTTTTCAAAAGTAATAACAATACAAAGAGAAGCACTAATGCTACACCGCTTTACCGACTCTTGCCACTCCTTTCCTTGTCCTTGACATTTACCAAGGCCAGCTCTAAAATACTTTTCAGAAGACGGTAATACTACAGTTTACAATAAAATTAATTTAATTAAAATTTGGAAAACAAAAACATTTTAAATACATGTATACACATTCCTCCCGTCAACATTTAACAGTCACGTGGCCATATAGCCTACTAGAGTTTGGCATAAAATGAAAACAAAGTCAAATTATATATAAATTTCTTTTAAATTTTTAAAAATTTTGTTTAAACCCATAGATTTTTATAATTGTTTATGTTCCGATTATTATCCACCAAAAAGTACACGAAAACATTATGTAATTTAAACTTCAATTAAAGCCATGTCATCCAACTAGCTAATTTTAGACAATTCATTCTTCATGCAGTCACTTTTTTAAACTCATGCATCGGGAATGTAGTAAACGTGCTTTCTATTTGATTAGATGTCCATTGTTGAACTAATCCAGAATTTGAATTCGGCCTTAGAATAGCTCGAGGGTTCGGAAATTAAATTGTGGGATAATTACATTAACCATATAACCAGTCTTAGTGATAATGTAGCCGTTTTTGGACAAAGATTTTGTATTTTGTTCCAGAAAAAAAACAAAATATGAAAATTATTATTACAGAATGTCGTGTATTCAAACTAAATGAAATTTCTAATGATCCTTAATTTAATTAACAAAATTATTGGGGTTCGAATGTAAACAAGAACATCGCAACAGCCATGCAAAAATGACTATCAAGTGACATGTTCGATAGTTTGATGTTTTTAATAATAGAAATACTAGCCTACTTAATTTTTATTTGTTTATGTAATAATACCTAATTATGGAAAGATTGATAAAAATAAATAAAAACACCAATGTAATAAACAAGCAACAAAAATCTTACAATTCTGCGTTTCCAGGATTACTAAAAAAGCGTAAATTGAATAAAAATAAATTCCATTAGCGGCAATAAAAACATTACATAAAGAGCGTAATCGTCCGGCACATAAACAATCCATCCTGCTGTGACAAGATGAAACAAAGCCTTACCTCTGAGGCTTCAGCCCCGTGAGCCCCCGCGAGGGCATTGGGATCATTGGTATTCATCTCTGGAGTGTCTCACCGCCACCGAAATGTCACTTTCCATTCAACAATCGAAAAGCAGAGGCGATTTTCGAAAATATCACGTGAAAATTTTCACTGTCATTGTCTACACCAGAACGGGGGGACGCGAGAGGTAGCCATTACAAAACCGAGAAGTGATTTTCACAATTTTACACCAGGAATCGAGCAAAGAACCAACGAGATTTAGCACAAAGTCGCCGCAAGACCCTACGCATTGTTCTTATCGCCCTTATCAATCACATTTCGGCCTAAATCACGAAAAATTTTCGTTCAAGAGAGAAACGGTCGCGGGGCGCCTCAAACAATAAACAGAGAGAATCAACATGGCCGAGAGTGAATCCAAACCGATGCGTCATAACATAAACAAAGGATATTTATCGCAATAATGGTAAGATTTTGTGAAGACAACCCCAAATTTCCGCAAATTTCACCCTAAGACAGGTGAATGGGTCACAGACGCCCCCCTTTACCTTAATTTTAATCCACAATTTTAAATTATAAACCCCCACTGTCAACAATTAAGCACCGCCCACTTACACTCGGTCGGTATTTCAAAGCGCCAAATTCAAATCCGGAGAACAAAGAAACGCCAAACTTGAACAATTTTATTCAAAATCACACAAACGGACGGAATTGAGTAAATGTTTAAGACTTAAATATTAATCTTCAATTGCTTCTTCGACAAATTCATCGTTTTCATCATCGTCGAGTTTCATTTTTGCCGGAATTAAGGTTGAAATTGGAACACCCAAACCCTGAGCCAATGCTTCGATTGTTTCCTTGCTCAAATAATACGTAATGGGAGTGTTGCCACTACTGAATAACAACTGCTTTAATTCCCCTAATAATTGTTTAGCTTCGGTGAAGTTCCCGTTTTTGATATACTCTTGGATCATTAAGGCGCAAATGTCGCCTCTACGAACCGACTCTTCTAATTCCTTGCCCCCAGTCATTAATAACTGACGACACTGTGCAATCCCTACAATAAAAACCACAACAACTGAATTAAAACTGTTTGATTTAATGTTTACCGGCTTGGTAATCCCCCCGATCAAACAATCTTCGAATATCAACAAACCTCTTTATCATAGTGAGTCTTTGTTGGACAATTTCGGTCGCTCTTTGATGCTGGCTTGAATCCCTAGGATTAGTTATTTTAGTCAAGCAACGCGACGCTTCAGTCAACGCCCCGTAAGCCTTTTCGTAGTTTTTAAATTCGTCAATTTCAACTTGTGCACAAGCTACGTAAAAATTCGCCAAAAGATCTAAAGCCTTCCCTTTCGAATAAAACGTAATTATGTTTCGTAATATCTCGGGATTGTTTTGCCAATCCAATGATTGTAAATAATTCGCTGCCATTATATAAATCTCTCTTTGGCGTGACACACCTGCGAAAAAAATTATCTTATCCGTATCACCACTTTTCAATAAAGCTTTCATTGCCCGAATCTAAAAAAATCTCAAGTTTAACACCAAAAAAACACATTTTTTTAACAACCTTATCCCCAGCTTGTGTGAATTTCTTCGTCGCCAAATGATAATTCCCCTGCAACATTAAACTTTCAGCCAACGTCTGCAAGACATTAATCCGGTCCTCTTCCTCTAACTGATCTTTCTCCGGTGTTAATTTCTCGGCCAAATCTTCAGTCAATTGCACGTTATGTGTTAAACAAATCGTGATCGCTTCTTTGTATTTTTTCGCAATTGCGAGTAAATCAACCGCTTTATCAAACTGTTCGTTGGTGACGAAATAATCGGCGCATTTTTGCACCAAAGCCGGGTCACTATCAGCGTCTAAATCCGTTGCGATTTGTTGCAAAATGTCGTATTGTTGTGCCTTGAAAGCGAGATCGAGGGCCTTGTGGAGCATTCCGGCCCTGTGATACAAAATAACCGCTTTGTCAAGGGCCCCATTTTCTTCGAAATATCGCGCACATTCCAGTTTTTCACGAGTTCCGGCCACGGAACCAATGTTCCATAATTCATCACTCATGTGGTTCTCTTTACAAAGTCGTACGGCATTACCTACAATTTAAACACAAATAAAATCAAACGAAATTTGATAAAATTCCCTACTGTATGCGTTAGCTTTTGTGAAAAAATTCACAGCCTCTTCGTAGTTCCCCGTCGTTTCGTAAAACCTCGCCATGTGATAAAAAGCGGCTTTATCACGTCCCGATCTTGCCAATTCAGCCGCTTTGTTTTCCTCCCCCAGGAAACAAAGCACTCTAACTTGGGAATAAACATCACCTGCACTGTTATAAATCTTCAAAGCGGCTTGCATCTCCCCTTGCGACTCGACATACTGACCCCACCATTTGAGTAAATCGCTGAAAACAATCTTAAGGTCACAATATCAAAAAGGGGGGTTCCCATACGGGTCTTTAGTCTTCCCCATGTAACTCTCGAGTTGCTGAGGTTGGTCTAAAAGCATTCTCGGAACGTCAAACTTATGAGTGTTGGCTTTTTCGTATCGCACAGCCGCCTCTTTAAAGTCCCCCATGGCTTCCAGGGCTTTGCCCCATGCGTGATCAGTGTTTTTCAAATGGATGCGATCTTGCGACTCGGCGATAGCATGGGCCGCGTCGAATTTGTTTCGACTTCGCAGCAATTTGTTCAAAAGGTCGTAACGCTGACACTGGATGTACAATTGCTCGGCCTCGTCCTTAAAAATTTGATAAAAAAAAAGAAAAAAAAACCGTTACACTCACTAAATAGCACTACTTTAAAAAAAAAAATACCAGGTGAATAAAAAGTATGGAACCAAGCATAAAGCGTAAAGTACAATTGAAATGTGACCGTTTATCAAGAATAAAATTTCTCGAAATTTCTTTTAGTTTCCGAGTTTTGGACAAATTTTTTTTTTAATGGCAACCCACCATGATAATTTTTTTAATTAAAGCAAAGATTATGATCTTAAGATGACCTCTAATTAAATAAAATTGTTTTTTAGCCACTACTTTTTTTCGTATAAATTGTTAAAGTTGCGTTCCGGGCTCATTACGAAGATTTTCCGAACTTAACCGAAGTGGTTGTTTCATGCATTTCATCATGGGAGAACCCTGATTTCTATGCAGGTGCTTTGGGTTGGTTTCGAATGGACTAAAAATAGAAGAAAATGAGATGTTATTAGATTTTTTGATCCATCCGAAAGTACCTGCACAAAAAACCGGGCTCTTCAACGACCAAATGCATCAAACAACCCCTTCGGTTACGTTCGGTAGATCTTTTTAATTAGAGGTCATTTTTAGATCATAATCTTCAATTAATAAAATTATCATGATGGGTTACCGTTAAATTTTTTTTTTCTTCCAAAACTCGAAAAATGTTATTCTTGATAAATAGACACATTTGAGTTGTACTTTACGCTACACTAATTATTTTTTTCGTAAAGTGCTTTGTTTACAAAAAAACGATTGGTTCCATATTTTTTATTCATATTTACCAGAAAAATACTGAAACAAAAACTTAATTATACAGGGTCATTTTGAAAACGGCAGAATTTTTCTAAATAAAACATAATTAGGAAGGTATTAGTTTTTTACTTTTATTGAAAATTATTGTTTAAAAAAAAAATAAATTAAAAAAAATATATAAAAGTTAATAAAATCTAGTTGCATGGTGTCATTATTGCCATTATTGTCAAAAAGCAGCAAATGAAAGAAAATATGGTCAATATTTCAAATTTTTCATTTTAAAAAATGACTAATAATTACCTACTTTATAACAAATCAGAAAAACATTATTAGCTTATTCTATTATTACTTATTTATTTTATTTACTTTATTTTATGAACTTTTATTAATAATTGTTTTTTTTAACTTTGATAATTTTTTTAAATAATTTTTAGTAAAAATAGAACATATTGCACATGACTGTACCAAGAAAACTAATATCTTTCGAATTATAAAAAAATGGGTCCCTTTTTAAAATTAGAAAAATGAATATAGACATTTAGAAAAATTTTAAATTTCTGGGCTTATACTATATTAAAATAAAATTTTTATAACGCCTGCCGTTTTTTAAAAATCACCCTGTATAATTTAGTTTTTGATAATTACAGTGAGCGGCAAGATTGTGGAATAATCTTTTTAAAACTGAAAATATTTTATTTTGACAAAAATGCTCGTACAGCTCAATTTTCTTTTTAAGAAATACCCAATTTTGAACTTGATTTAAAATTTTACATTTTTTGGTTCTTGAACAATCACTTCATCGACATTTTTTTTTAATGGAAACCCGTATTTTTTTAGCCAAATCGATAGATCTTTTAATTGTCGAAATGATAACATCAAAATATTAAATATTACATAAAGTTTCTGAAAAAAATCATCCAAAAAGTGAAATAATCTCAACAAAAAACAAACATGCAATTTTAAATCAAGTTGAGAATTTTTTAGTCTTAAAAAGAAAATTGACCTGTTCGAGCATTTTTGTCAAAACAAAATATTTTCAGTTTTAATAAGTAATTTGCCATTTGGTTCATTGAATAGTCTATTGAATATCACGAGTAATCAAAGATTGTAGAATATTTTTGACTACTCGTGGTATGATTATTTCAGTGTATAATTTTTTGCGCCCCCACTGTACTCACCAGCATCCCCAAATGGACGGCCAAAACGGCCAATTTCGCCTCGTGTGGCAGCCCATAATCAGCAATAGCCGCTCTGAGTGCCATCGCAGCCCTCGCATTCCCCATATGCCCCAGACACACCCCCGCGACATCCAATCGCCGCGTTTTGACACACATCCGCGCCAAACTGCCCCAAACACCCGGATTTTGCACAAGTTTTATCGCCTTGAACGCCTCATCCATGTTACCAAGACTCAAATTATAACTAAAATTCAAGACAGCGTCTCGTACATCCTTGTTGCAATTTTCAAGCCCGTTAAAGTCACTCATAACTTCTCGAATTATAATTAATTTCTCCAAAATTATTAAATAAGGGGTCGCCAACGCCAATAAACGAGAATCACCATCGACAGCTCTAATATCGTGAATTTTAATCCCGTGTTCCGACGACACAAACATTGTCAAAATAATGTGATCCTCGTCTTTGAGTGTTGTTTTAGTATCGGATCGCGAGCGCTTTAAATGTTTTTTCTCCGCCGGTAATTTGACTCTTTTCGCATCGCAAACTAACAATCTCGGGTCGTGATTGTCCCAAAACAGGTGCAAAGGGATGCGGTTTGAGCAAATTTCATTGAAAACAGCTCGAGTCTCATCTGAAACATTCTCCTCCTCGATTGGGGTTGTTTTCTCATCGACGCTGTATTCGTCCGGATTTGGCTCAAAATCAGCAAAATTTCCATACTTGTGAAAATCATACGATATTAAACTATCATTTTCCATATCCCAGATGTAAAGTCTCCCATCGGGCACTAAATTCGCGGCGGCTAAAGTCAATGCGATTTTATTTCCGGATGAATTACTCTTCGCCTGGATTATTTCCCCGAAATCCGGACACAAGTCGTACAAATTCCGGGCCGGAATTGCCAATTTCGCCTCATTCTCACCCAATTCGTACACTTTCATGTAACCCTCAATTGTGAAAATCGTGAGAAAATTCCCGGTTACGTCAATTCCGATCGGTTCACCTTCGTGCGATGGTGACATGATGTTGGTGATAACCGAACCGTTTAATTGTCTCACTGTGACGGCTTTCGGTGTCAAAACTATGATCATTTTTTTGTGCAATAAAACCTTCTCGTTGTCACAACTAAAGGTGGTTAGTAATTTAATCGAAAAATCGGCCGTACTTTCGGTTTGTTTACTAATGGTCGAATTTAATTCCAAATCGGATCCATCCCAGAAAATTTCATAAACTAGTATTCGTCTCCCGTTTGTGAAAATAGCATAAGTCTCGGTGATACTCATGTCGGTGACTTGGGCCTCCAATTGAAGCAAAAAATTGCTTTTTGGACTTTCGACAAGCACCTGATTGGCGGTTTTTTGCGTACACCAAACCTCCTCCGAGAAACAAGTGCAAATCGATTGTTCCTTCATTATGTAAACACAAGTGACGCAATTGACGCTTAATAAAGGCAGTCTCAGTTGGACTGAGCCCCACATTAATTGCTTAACGGTCCCACTGACCGTATTTACGTTATTCAACTCCCAACAATCCTCGGGATTTTCATGGTTTTTATTTTTTGACCAGAAGTAAATACGGCCGATGTTGGTACCAGCGCAAAGAGTTTGGTTCAATTTACAGAAGGCCAAACACGTGAAAACTTCACTAACTGTGCGGTTTTTCTCATCGTTTGTGTAAAACTTCAACGAGGTTGGTAGCACGTAATTATCATTAGTTTCAATATCCCAGATACGGACGATTAAATCTCCGGTTAAAATCGCCAAACTGGAGTTACCACACCAGACTAAACCGTGGGTACCAACCCCCCGACTTTGCACCCTTCCGCTCAACTTAACTTTAGCTAATTCGTTCAATTGGCCTTGACTATCAATCGAAAAGTGACCGATAGTTAAACCCTCCATCATGACAATCAGAGCGTCTTTATTGGGGTGGTGGACGATGTACGAAAGAGGCACCCCTTCCGTATTCAGGACTTCCAGACACGACCCCCCGTTATTAACGTAGTAAATTGACCCGACTTGCGTCCCCACGTAAAACGACAAGTTATCAGAGCCCTCTTGGACCCGGAATTTCCGGGCTGTGGTCTTCGGACGCCAGTTACTGAACATATCAAGGGCTCTCTCATCTCCGTTCACCGCAGCCTTGGCCAAGCCTTCGACGTCAAAATCCGGGTGCGGTCTTATCGTAATTCTGAACGTCAAATGCGTTATCGATTCTTTCAAATCCAAGTGAAAAACCATAACGGTTTGAGCTTGACTATCCACCACTTTCCACCCCACTAGTGACCCCGCCTAGGATACAATTAATACAACCCCCTCAACACTTGCACACTTACTGAATCGCATGATACGAGTCGGCCCCCCTTTTCGCTGAATTCGAGTAAGGTGATGGGGGCCTTGTGCGGGCCCCCAATCAGCGCAAAGTCTTTCTCCCCGTTCCAGATTTTAAACTCGCCGTTTTCCCACCCGGTGGCTAGGATGTTGCGTTCGGGGTGCCACGCGAGTGCTGTTACTTGAAAACTGCGATGTATGGGGTAGTTTATGTCGCTTAAAGGCTCCCCCTGGAAGGTTCAATAAGCCGGGAAAGACAGTTCGTTCACCTTACCAACTCGTCGAAAATGGTGACGTAGCCGCCTTTATCTTGCGAAAAACTAGCCACGGCGAGGAGGGCCGAGTTCGGATGCCAAACTCCGTTAAGGGAAATCGAGCCCGGCTCCGGAAAACTCACCGGATTTTCGAAATAAAGCGTCATTTTTGGTGTTTGTTTACAAACATTGCTCGTTGCTAGGTTGCGGTGTGACAGATCTGGGGCTTTTGAGTGCTGAGTTTGGCGGCATTGCTTTTCAAAATTGACAGATGACGTAAATATCTAGCTGTCATGGGGGTGGTGTAAAGAAAATTTTGTTTTTCTCGGGGAAAATGGGAGAATTCTTGGTATTTATTGTGGTGTTTTTTCTCATAATTTTCGTCATTTTATGGTAAGCATTGAGGGGGTGATGGACAAGCAATAATTGGGTTTTTAGGGGTTTTAGAAACATCATATCATGGCTGTTTCGCCGAAAATACAACGTTTTTCTCAAAATCGGAAGTATTAAATTGCCGTATTTGAAACTATGTGATATTCAAATATCAAAAGACGGGTTCAACATTGTGAGTCATGATTATTTTAATCCTTTCTTACATAATAAATTTTTAGCACATTGATGAAATCGGGATCAAGAGTAGTTTCTTAAATTCAGAACTCACAAAACTGGTTACTTTGGTGGTAAAAGATGTGCGAGTCAATAAGGATATTGGCCAAAACTCCGACTTTATGTCGGTTGAAGAAAACAGTAAAAATTCGCTTGATTTCAGAGATAAGAAAATACCACATTTTATCAATACTTTTGCACAAGTAAACAATGATTTTTTAAGTATTAGTGATAACAAATAATTGTAGTTTATGGCTGTGCACGTTTACAATATATCAGCAATGTTACTAAGGTCTGAAACTCCAGGTTGTCTCACTCATGCAACTGCCTCAGAATTGAGACTAGACGGTAGTATTTTAAAAAATGCGAGACTCTTATTAGTAAGTTTAAACCTAATTGATGCCTCTGCTAAAGTCTTAAGACATCAAGAAAATCAATCAAAGGAGACTTGTCTTGCAGAATTTAGATTTGGTGTTTCAATGGACCTCATTTTAATCGCTCAAGGCCCCTTATCAGTCGAGGTAAAACAAACTACAAGTGTGACAAAAAATTAATTACAACTTTCAGAAACTTAACTTTAAAATGTCTCAAACAAGTTCAATTATCAACGATAGTTTTTACAGTCTGGCTCATAGTAACAAAACTAGAAAACACAACCAAATTGAGGACGATTTTTTGCACAGAATTCTACCATTAATCCCAAAGGTGTGCTACATACAAATCGATGATACTTCTCTAAAAGGAGTCAAAGAAAATAGCCAAATTGAGTATAACTCATCTTTGAAAAAACTCTCCTTGACTTACAAGTCCTCAAAATCGGACACTTCAAATCTCGTCTCTTTTAATTTCGCCATGTCCGACCTCCAATTGCAAAACAGTCGAGAAAAACTCCTCTCGTTAAAGTCGCTCACAATTGATGCTAAATTACGAAACGATATTGTCAATATTTACTTCCAAATGAGCAGTTTTTTGCTCACGTACAACCACGACGTGATTCATCGTTGGGTCTATACGAATTTTCTCAAGAACCGACAATTCAGTTCAGAAAAAATCACCGATTTGGAGCTGTCACCCCAAAACAGTTTTATCGAGAATATCGTCAAGAAATTGGTGATAAATATTTGTGCAGAGTTTTCACAAGTCTCCGCGACGATTAAATTGAGCGGTCACACGTCGTCGATGGGTTTTAATCATGTCAAACTCATGTTGGAGCAAGCACAGAAACATCGTGGGCCTTCCTACAACTCGTATTTTTTCAATTTATTGCTACTCGATCGACATTGGCAGACCGAATGTCTGATTGAGTCGTTCTGGTGGAGTTTCAAGGAGTGGAATCAGGACACCAACGTGTCGAAAAAGATGCACATTTGGGGCACTCCGGTTTATTTTGTTAAAGTGTTGGTACGCGTGTGGACACATGAGAACTGCGAAATGGAAGTTGTCTCGTTTCTGGACATGGTACAGTTGGAGTGGTCTTTGGAATTGGCCGATTGTGTGTTGTTAGCCATAAAATGCCTGAAACAGTACGGTTTGGATAAAAAAAAATCACACAAAGCGATTTGTAAAGACTCCAGACCCCAAATCTACGTCAATGTTGGTATCAACCACTTCAATTGTTTCTTCCAATCGCAAAACACAGGTGAGTTGTAGTTGGTAGTAGAAAAAAACTTGAATTTGAATCGCGTTTTAGAGTATTTTGTCGTTCAGCTTAACTCAGTTGATGTTATCAAAAATCTGGACTCGTTAAACATCCAATTTGAGGAGTTTAAAATTTTCACGATTCACAACACCGGTGCTTATTATTGTTGCATCAGGACTGAGGATATTTCAAATTTTAAAGTTTTTGTAAAGCAGGCACAGGTCGATTCGAAAAATAACAAAAACACGATTAGTCTACTTGATGAAATCACTGTTTATTGGTCCACGAATTTCCACTTGAAAGCTCTGCTTCTGATAAGGGACATTAGCGAGTTTCTGGGTGAGCTTCGCGACGAGTTTGGATTGAAATTGGCGAATTCAAGCAGTGATAATGTTTATAATTGTGCCGTGATGGGCGTTTTTTCGTTTCATGTGGAAATTTCGGAAAAATATTCGGGAAAAGTCTCAATTGATTCGCTCAACGTGTCGAAAACGCGTTGCGATTTAACGGTGAAGAACACCACCGCTGTGATTTCAATCGACGGCTGTGACATTTTCACGATCAAAGGACTTCATTTGCATCGAATCAAAGACAGTCAATTAATACGAGAGGAACGCTTAGATAATGAAAATTTCAAAGTCGCTTGGAACAAAACCTGGAGTTTGTCGATTGATTTATTCAAAGCTGTCTTTCCCTACGAACACAATTACGCCGATGCTGTACAAAACGAGTTTATTTCGGTGTTTAAATGGCTCAAAATTGTGCATAATCACAAGAAGGTGCCATTCACGATTCATAGTCCACTTCCTAGCGATTTATTAATCAACGTGAAAGAGTTTTTATTTGAAATGAGCGATGATCCATTTGAGGTCAAATTAAGAGACAATTTTGAATTACTGGAAGATGAATACAACGAGAGTTTGAAACGGCAAAAAATGTTAAAGGAGAAAGTAGCCGAATTGTGTAAAACTCATCTGCATTTACCGGCCGGTAAAGTCGAAGAATTGTACAATAATTTGAAGAAGAAGAACGCTGAAATTTACATTCAACGCTCGAAACAAATGCTGCGAGCAGCGCCCCCTAGAACCCGGCTTTTCGCCTGGAACATGACCAATGTTGAGATTATGGTAATTGATGTTCAAACCAAAAGCGTTTTTATACGGCCGTTTTTTATTTTTAATTGACCACAATTTTAACTTAATAATAATTAATGAACGGTTTTAGTACAGGCTAGAGTTCCTATATTTGAATATACAGAGTGTTTCACACAACTTTACGAGGCTTGCGCCTAATGTACGCACCCAAATATACAATAGTCACAAAACACTCCATACAAAAAATACAGATTTAATTATTTAATTTTTGGAAACCTGACAGTAGTTGTCAAACTAATCACTGTTTCATTAATAGTCATAAACTGCAGTTTTTCAGAAACAATTATCATTTTTTCTATCAAGAGACGGTATGAATATGATTCTAGTTTATCTACCTTAATAACTAACTAACTAAAAACGTTGTAATTTTTGAAAGGTTGAACAAACTAGAGAAGATTATCCAATTTTTCAAAATTTGTGATCGAGTTCGTATCAAAATATGTATTATTGATTGAATCTTACAGGCGCAGGCCTCGTAAAATTATGTGAAACACCCTATTATTTTCTAATATGGGAACTCTAGTATAGGCAGTTAAACATACAAGGTATCTATGGTAACCAAACAAAAATTAGACTAGGCAACCAAATATACACTTTAGGAAATTTTACTCATGAAATTGAGTTTTTTTTTATTAATTAATGTAGATCAACGGAAAAATATTATAATTAACTCTTGTATTAAACAGCGATTAAGACCGGCTGTATAAAAACTAAATTCTTTATCCATGTAGGAGGCCGAGTCGAAAACAATAATTTTTTTGAAGATTTTAGCCGATCCGTCGATTCACGGCACTGAAAACGTGATAAAAATTATGAAAGAGATTGACGCTGATAGTCCCTGGCCTGAGGAGCAGCTCGATTTTACCACTCTTTGGTGTCGAGTCGTTTCCTTGCGTTGCAAAGAGTGGAAATTCCAGCTTAGGGATTTCCCCCAGCCGTTGCTCGATATTAGACAGTGTTACATTTGTGGTCAGTTGGTGGGGGCTGAACAAGTGGCACCAAGACGGGGTGAGTAGAATTTATTTGATTAGAATTTGTGACAAAATCGAGCGTTTTTTGCGACCGATTGCACCGAACATGTCCATTACGCCTTGAAAGCTGTCCACCAAGTCGAATATTAAGCCGAGAATCATGTCCAGGAGGTCGTCGGTAAAGCTCAGCTTTTGCATGGGTTTTATCTTCGCCTTGAAACAAAGGATGGAATTAAAAAACGTTTAATTTTTGTGTTTTGTTTATTTTTTTTGTTGCATAATGGTTGATAAGATTCCGGTGATTAATTCGGTGATGGCTGGGAAGCGTTCTTGGATGCGGGAGGCTTTTGTCATGAGGGTTTCGACCAGTTGGTCTTTATTTGTCACGAATGAAGCTCCAGTCTTGTAGAAAATATCGATTCCAGTTTTACTACAATTTTGTTTTAAGTACTTACTTTTTGGTTTGGATTTTTATTATTTTGGGCTTCGGCAAAATTATGGATCATTAAAAAAAAAGCGAGACATATTATTATTTTGATTCTTGCCATTTTGTTGTCCGATCTCAACTGCAGTTTTTTTCAGGTTTTCACTTTTAAAATCTTTAGTTCTGGCCTTGATGCTCATTCATTCAGGATGTCATTATTGTTTTGATCTGATACAATTTTTTTGATGGTTGGTAATGATAATGGTCATTACCTAATTGTTTTATTTTGTTTGAAATAATAACGCGTCAAAATAGCTTTGTATGTTTTGTTAAGTTTTTGTACAATAATTTTAAATTATTTAATGCCACGTTTCTCGGCTGAAATACTGCGTGATTTTTGGTAATAAAAACTTGATACATTTTTTAATCAAATAACACATAAAAAATTGTAAAATTACATAAAATAAAACACATCGGAGAATTTAATATAATACAAAATAAAACATTATGATATGTTCTGGTTTTTAAATTCATAAAAAATACACAACTCGAAAACAAAAAGAATTTTTTTAAAATTAAACTTTTTTTGTCGGAAAATAAACAGTTTTTAAATAGAAATTGCTTGGTTTTATGCTTTTGCCACACCCGTTGGGTACAAGCAAAATAGCCGAATTTTTTTATAAAAATACTTTTCCCAATAGTCAAAATTTTTTTTTATAAAAATACTTTTGCTAATATTCAAAATTTTATTGAAAAATACTTTTCCCAACAGTAAAATTTTTTTTTTGTAAAAATACTTTTGCTAATAGTCAAAATTTTATTGAAAAAATTTTTTTTTGTGATTTTATAAAACAGTTTTTCTTTTGAATTTTGTTGTTTTATCCCCAATGAAGCACATAAAAGTCATTGCATCAGTTTTTTATTGTACAAACGTTATTGCAAAAACGGTGAAACTTTTTCAGACACTTTTTCAGCGGCTTGCGCGACCTTTGATTCGGCTTTTCCAAGCTTCGAGTTGACTTTTTCCATAATTTCGTCTGCAGATTTAGCTCCTGCTAGACGTGTCGGATACTTAATCTATAAAAAAATATTGATTAAAGGATATATTTTGTTAAAAAAAATACTTACTTCCGGTGGGGGCAACCAAAACTGCCCCTCAGTCACACCCACCAACACGACTAAAAATGCAACAAAATACACAATTTTCGCTTTGTCCACCATCGTTAAAATGCACATTAATGCTGTTCAGTCCTTTTAAATCCGAAAACAGGATACGAATGTTTTATTCCGGAAGGCTAATTATTTTTTAATATAATTTGTTATCATTATCACTCATCGATTTTTTTTTCAAGCTGTACGCAGCGTTGTGGTTAATTTGGGCGAACCATTCGAACCGTTCACAGTCGAACGAGGAATGCTACCATTGAAATTTTACCATGATTTTAATTGCGAAATTGAGTCGTATAGTTACGCTTTTGGGCCTTGTTGGGAGCCGGTTATTGCGCAATGTAACTTGAGTAAGTATGAAAAGTGGTGTAAAAAAAAATAATGAAAAGAAAAGGTTTCGAGAAAATTCTAGCACCATCGCGTGACCCTTCACCCCCACTGTCTTTCTGGGACAAAATGCGTCTTTTATTACATGGGCGTTTGACCATGGTTGTGCAACAATTAACAGTTTTATTGCACGCGTCTTTGGACCCATACAATACCACCGAGGAGATGGAATTGACTTGGAGTCAAGTCGTGATGGATTGGACCAATGGTACTAAACCCATCATGTTTGGACCAAAAATTCAGTGTTTGTTTTAAGCCAAATTTGTGTATAAAGGCGACTTAAATATTTTTGTCCGGACGGCTTCGAAATACGACGATTGTCAACTACTCCATTTGCCCAACTTGAAGTTAATCCTGGGTATCCAATGGGTGTGTTTGGGTGACCCCAACGACCACCATAATGTCATTCAATGCGCTCCTGATAAAATCCCGGAGTATTCCAGTAACCAAGTCCATGATTCTTTCAGGGCTTTTAGGTCGCAAAATGTGAACCTTAGTATCGTACTAGAGACAAAACCGGTCACAAACCAATCAAATTTCGACTTCCCTATGCTTTTACTTTATGGAAGTACATTGAGGTGGATTGAAAATTTAAAATTGATTTTATCCGGAGTGACAAGACCCACGAAAAGAGGCAAAATTTTTAATAATATCCGTCCGAGAAAAATCCAACTTAGTCGCCACTACAAAAAAGTTCATCTCTTAATGGGGCTTCACAAATTCCAGGTTTGTTATTGGATGTCGTTTGCCATGCAACGTGGGTGTGAGTTAATTGGGGGACGATTATCGTCCAGTTCCGGTATTTATCCATTTTCAATTGAAAAAATCGTTTAAAAGCACACTTTTAGAACATATGTTATCGTTAGTGCCCATCGATGATGGGCTAACCCATCGTCCGAAAGCCGAATGGTCGATCGTCTACATGAATTCAGAACTGAACGATTCTGAAATTTGGCTAAAAAGTGCCCTTCAGGAAGATTCCGAATTCGAAGCAATGTCTTTGAGACAACCAGTGGAGAAGTGTTATTGTCTCTCAGTCGCCAAGGTTTCCTACGGACGTGAAACAGTGATACCAACCCGCGAACACAACACTTGTGAACGCAACAAAGACACACCAACCCATCGCTTGGTCGTTTACGACCTACGAGGTGCATGGACAAAAAGTAATCGAAATGTAGCTTTTGCACTTTTCGACACATTCATGAAAAATAAGCAAATGAAAAAGAATTTGTCAACGGAAGCGCTCAAAGCTTTCAGGAAGGATGGTAACACGACGCCGTTGAAACGACGCAACACAGACGCCCCTGGAACACCCCCAAACTCCTCCATTCAGACTCTCCAAGCCGCGGCGGCGACTCAAGACGCCCACTCCCCAAGCACTAAATTACAATCAGGGCACGCTGCGAATATGTTACAGCAGTTAATCGCCGAGGCTGATAACAAAGCTGTGGTTTATAGCGATGATTTGTCATCGGTGACTCGTCAACAACACCTCCAGGGCTTACAAGCGTGTCAAGAAGACGACGTCCAGCATAAAAACTGGCAAATTGCGCTCGTGAACGCTCAAGTGTTGCTAAAAGGGTGCGAAACGAAAGGTTACGTGATTTTGAGTGCTGCCAAAGCTGAGATTATCCAAAGGATACATCGGCCCGTTTGGAAGGACCGGACTCTAGTCTCGAAAACGACGTGGTCTGGAATTCTGGAATGTATGCAGTATTATGCCACGGTCAACGCGGGGGAGAATGACTCCGTCAATGAGAATATAATGTGGTTGACTGTTGACAACATCCAAGAGAAGGAATCGACTAATATTTCCGAACCATCTGAAGTTCCGAATATGGTAGGGAGTGGTGTTTCGGTGGGGGCTGTTGTGAGTGATACAGTCGGCCCTAGCACCTCTCGTCAATTACAAAGAATCGTTTCGAGGTGCAAATGTGAGTTTTTTTACGCCGGTTATGGTGACATTAGTGTCGATCCGGAGGCGGTGGCTGAAGTCCCACCACCGCCACAGGAGGACGTGGGGCCCTGGGATCGGCGCCAAAACGCCGTCAATGCCTTCACATTGATGCATTACGACTTGGATGTGTGCACCAACTCACTCCAATACGCAATGTTGCTCGATATTGTCAATAATTTGTTACTGTATGTGGAACCACACCGGAAAGAAGCTTTGGAGAAGTTGGCCAGAATGCGTTTCCAACAACTGTATAGTCTTGACGACCAGAGGAGGCCCATTCAAAATCAACAAACTTTAGTTAGAACGACTTTTAGTAAATTACGGAGGTTGGAAAAAGAGACGTATCTTGTGAGTAAGGCTTTGGCCGAAAACCCCAACGATTTAGAGTTGGTGCAAGAGATGAATCGGTTGGAGAAACAAGTCTACGAGTGCAAAAATCAACTAAATGCGCAAAGTGAGGAGTTGGATATGATGCTCTCGTGTTACAAAGAGACGCAATTGTTGACTAATAGCCGCCTTGCGACTACTAGAAGTGACAAGCCTTTGACTATAGTCCGCGCCAATGAAATCTGTTTCAAGCATGCGCAGTGGCGACTCACCGAAGCTGACGGACAAATCGGAATTGCGGATTTAGTCTTGAGCAACTTTTTGTACACCAAAAACTCGAAAAATGATGATTCAGTCGAGCATTTACTCGAATTGGGTTACTTAAGAATGACAAACTTGTTACCGAATGAGATCTACAAAGAGATTTTGTGTCCGAGTGAAATTCAACACGGAATGCCGATTGAATACAAGGTCCGATTAATAAATTTTCGTATCAAGATTTCATTGCCTTTTTTTTAGAAAGTTTTGCGTATTTTTTGTCGCGAGAAGCCTCCAGTCGGGGGAATTTCCGTTAAGGAGCATTTTGAAATTAATTTAGTGCCTCTCACAGTCGGTATGACTAAGAAATTTTACAGCACAATGATGAAATTTTGCTTCCCTGAACGCGAGAGTGAAAATGCTGATTATTCCGATAGGGTGAGCGACGACGGTAACGAACCTAAGAAAAAATCCAAAGCGCAGAAACGTAACCGGGATTCGAATTTCTACGTGTTGATCGACGATGTGGAAAAAATGAAAGAACGGGCTGAGAAAAACAAACTTTTTGTGTATATCAAAATCCCTGAAGTGCCAGTTAAAGTCAGTTACAAGGGGAATAAAGAGAAGAATCTCGAAGATTTGCGAGACGTGTCTCTTGTGATTCCCACTTTGGAGTATCATAATATGACTTGGACGTGGCTAGATTTCCTGATGGCAATTAGAAACGACACGAAACGTGTGATATTCTCCCAAGTAATTTGCGTTTGTTTTCACTTGTACGAGTTTGTAGCTGTTTTTTTTAGGCAATCAAACAAAAATTGCAAATCAAACGAAATACCGGGTCATTGGATGAAAGTTCCTCGCCCCAAGAAGAAGACAAAGCAAGGATGTTGTTTGGTGCAAGACATGTAAGTGGCAATGGTTCGTTTTTGGTGTCTGATTGGGTTGTTTTAGGCACCGGAAAATAAAAGTATTAGGAAGGGGGTTGGTGGGGTGTTCAAGTTTGGCAAATGACGAAAATTGAATAAATTTTAGTTTTTATGTAAATTATTCTATTTATGCGTAAGTGTGCTTCGCAAATATATTTATTTTGTTTGTTATATAAAATTTGTATCATTTCGTTAATTATTTACAAAATAAAATATTTAGAACCTTGTGGTTGTTACGCCACTGGACGCTGAGAAATGTCAATTTGTGAATTACTGGTTGCATATGCTTCGGGGTGTAGAATATTTTTTTTTCTAATATTTTATTCAATTAACCAAGACTACATTTATGAAGTAAAGGGCCACTCTTGCCGTTCTATGAACCCTTTGTATTTATCTTTATATTTTAAGCCTGTAACTAGAGTTGATTCTCGGTTATAAGCCGTTTGTCCCTTGAAGAGTTTGTCAGTTTCTGGAAAAAAAACAGTTTAAAAACTTGCGAAATTGAATGTAGGTTTGTACCTGGGTGGAATCGGTGATATTCGTATTGTACATGCAAATTTTCCGGCAAGTCCATGTTCCGCATTTTATCCAAGGGGGTAACATTGTCAACTGGAGTTTGGTAAAAGTTTCTAACATCGTTTAAAGTTTGAATTGAATGCAAAACAGAGTTTGGAATAGCTCTATCGAATTCCTTGGCACAGGCCATGCACAAGTCGAATTTTTGCGCTAGGTTTAGTATGTTGGTGTCACCCTCTGTGGCCCCCAGAACTTTCTCGAAAATCGTGTCAAGCTTCGTGTTGACATCATTTGGTGGTGTGTAGGGATCGTAAGGCCTCAAGAATCTAAAAAAACGTTTTTAAAATATTAACAATTCGTATTTCACGCGCAGTATCGAATTTATTGACCGTCGGGTGGCGCGCCCTCGCGCCACCTTGTCGAACCCGGGGCGAAGCACCATGGCTCCCCTCAGTTCAGCGTGAACGTATGCTCGGTACACACCCTTTCGCCGCGAGAGACTGTTGCGAAGCGTTGATTTTTGGGGGCTGCTTCTTGTCGATACCCTTCTTCTTCTCGGCCTTTGTAGCAAACGGGAGCGGATGCAGGGGCGCGAAAGCCCCGCTTGGGGGCCGCTTCATGAGACCGCCATGCCTCATCAGCGCCGCCATCGTAGTCGACTAGATCGGTGCGAGTCGGCGCGCTAAGACGTGCCGCCGCCGGTCGGTCATCTCCAGCGCGTGCGCACCGCCAACGACGTGTGTCGTGGATTGGAGCGGACGGTGAAACTGTGAAATGTCTCGGCTCTTGCTTTCCTCCGATTGGAAGCGCTGAATTAGTGTGGCTTGTTGTTTCCTATCCGCCATTTTGCATTGCGATCGAAAGGTGAAAATCGAGGTAAATGGTGGCTTAAGTGCGGCCCAAACGCGCCTGTGAGTGCTGTGATAAGTTCTCGTGTCGTGGGCAGAAAATCGCCGAGAATGGAGCAGGCATGACGCACCCAAATTTTCAAACCAACGGGGCCAGTTTAGAGGATTGCCACACTAACTTCTTCGCTCTGGTGAGTCCCCGACAGCCCCCAAACCATTCACACTGCGACAATGTTTACGTTACGGACAAACTTTCCCCCGGCGCAAATGACATAATTATCAACAGTTCCCCCTCCCCGGGGCCACATTTTTCGGCCATGCCCTGCGTTTCCATCAGCATTTTGCGCAAATTCGACCAATTCCTCAAAGACAATTTCTTTAACATTGCGGGTGTTCGACGATTTCGTGTGAACGAACGCGAAGCGCTGTTGCCGCGCTTTCATGTAACGGTCTCGATTCTCTTCTGTTTCTCCTTCATGCCTATCTAGATCACGCACATTTCCTCCAATGCCCACACCTGAACATGCCTAGAGTCCTGCAAGCCATCCCCGAGACGGCTCCCAGGCATGTTCCGCATGCCTTCGCTGCGAGATATTTGACATTGACGTATGTGGGCTGAGATGTGGCAACGTCGCGCCGAAGCGGCTAGTGACAGGCGTACAGTCTATGGTATAAACGCAGCTGATTAAGAGGCCAGCCTACTTGCAACATTTTAATAATACACTGGACTATTTACACAGCCCACTCTAATTCACGAAAAAAAATCCCGGATTTTTCGGAATTCCGGTGATAATCCACTTAAAGTGTTTGTTTTGCAGCAATCAGTTCCGCTTTACTTTTAGAAAGTTTACTTAATGGCTGAAGAAATCACAGATTAATTAGAGTTCGTTATTCTAACATAACCTAATTGTTTTTTATACGTTTAATTTTTGGCGCGAAATTTACGGTTTTCGAATTTTGACGACGCCCCTGGATTCTTGTCGATATCCTCGTTAGACAAGAGGTTAAACACATCGACCTTGAGCTTATCGTGTTATTATCGCAAGACTTTGTTTCAAACACATTGAGAAGTGAACATGTACTTTGCAATATTGTGAACTAAATAAACAAAATATCTTATTATTGCGTCACTACCAAACAACAACCGATCACTTTACATATTTTCCATTACCACTAAAAAATGTTTATTGTATAGCGAGTTTCTTATCAATTTCTGAAGGTGTATAAACAAGCAACACGTTTGTTTATCACTTTGACTCTTAATATCTCCCAATGGTATTTAAATGGCGAAAGATTCCGCCGCGTTACGTCATCGATAATACTGATATCTTATCGCAGTGCATTCTCAAGATTGGGATGTGAAGGAGGAAGAAATCCACAAGTGGTCTATAATAAATAACTCGTACATAAAATTATATTACATTTTCTTTTTTAAACTTGTTGGTAAATAGCCGAGATAAGGAGGAAAAAAAATGACCTTGATTAAGCTTTAGTTCGCTACAAAATTTGGCCCAAATAGCCAGAGGGAAGGCCACACAATTTATTAGTAATCCCCAGACAAATTTAATAAGACAATTAACTGTATCACATTCATTGTGGTCGCAGTATGACTAATTAATTACGTTTTGTCGTAAAACAAATTCAGTTTTTCGGTATTTTTAGACGTTTTGTGATTCATCTTTAGCCTTGATGAGAGCGAATTTTTACTGATAAGTTTATTTTTATTCTTAGGTGGAAGATGAATGGGAGAAATTTACGTAAATAAGTGTTTCAAATATAATTATGTCGTGCTGATTCCGGAAAGAAAATGTAAAGAAATGTCTGGTGATGAATGAGTGTTTACTTTTTCGGATTAAATTATCTAAAGACATGACATTTCCGCGGTTTGTTACGTTTAAAAGAAAATTTTCTGCTTTACGTTTTGACTCTTATGTGTTAAAACACCAAAAACGGTGTGATAATGAAGGCTATTTTTGGGCATTTTTTTCCTGAACCTTGAATATTCACCAAAATAAAACAATAACAATTAAAACACATGTACGAATCCAAATATCATAGATAAAAAATCACTACGTGAAATGAAATTTCGTTTAAACAGAAATTTTAATAAAACTAACAGAGCAATGTGAAAAAAATACTGTAAGTATTCCACTAAGGCGTTTTGTCGCACACTCTTCGCTACGCTCGTTGTACTTTATTAAACCCATGCGTGCAATAATATACCATCTTATAAAACATGTATAATAATAAACTATTTTTCGCTTTGTAGGCTGTTTTTCTTCTTCTTAGATGTGAAAACACCACCTGTTGCATCACATCACCAAATTACAAAATTTGACACTAAATTTATTCAAAATTTGGCAAAATCAGTGGAAGAACGCAACATCCGTTTCGAATTGTTGTTGCGTGTGCTTATAATATTAGCAAATTTAACGATTTTTCCTTGACGAATTATTACAATTTTAAGTAGGATAAATATTTGTCGAATTTTACTATCGGCAATTTTTCGTTCAGTTTTATTCCTGAAAAAATACAGGAAGTGCCGACAAGACGCCTCCGTTTCGAAAATATCCACGAGGTCCCATAAATCTTTTACTACCATATTCGAGAAATTAATATTTACTACATTGAGTGCTAACTTTATGTTCTCCCCATGTGCTATAAATTTCGTATATTAATGTCGGATTGCATACCTTAAAAATATGCATTACAATAATCACCTTATCGAAGTGGGTCAATTTGAGCATGGAAAATTTTGAATTCATCATCAAAAATTCATTTCTAGAAAAAACCGTATTGAGAGCAAAATCTTAATGTGACCCACTTTTAAACACCCAGTGAAAATTTCTAATTATTTGCCCTAAATGGTGGAAATTTATTATCCTTGTAGAATAGTCTGTGCAAGAAGCCGGTGCAGCATTCTACCTGAACCGTCCCCTTTTAGCGGCCCCAAAATCCTTCCAAATCCGCCATTCAACACCGTCTGTTCTTGTAAAACCGCTCGTTCGCGTCATCGGTGGTCTCTTTTGTGTCTATGGCTCGCGCGTGTGCACCGATAACGTCTTGTTTTCCTCGACAACATTCCGAAGAGGCGGCTCACACGTGGTTTGAAAACGACGGTGTGATTTAACTCTCTCGTCACCAAATCGGTTGGTTCCCCTGCACTTGGCACATATTCGATCATTTCTGTATGAACGCATGCACCAGGACCGGTCTGAGTCCACCGTGACACAGTTTGCAGGTCAAGGAGTGTGTGCGTGTGTATCGATCGTGCAAACACCACCGCCACACTTGTACATGCTCTTCGGATTCGGCCAGCATCAATACACACCGCCGAACCCCCAACAAATCGCACAACAATCAATAAAGTCACAAAACGGAGGGTTGAAACGACCCTTCGGTGATTCCAACTAAAGGTTTTTTCCGGTCGCGCGTTTGGATACTACCAACGAAAGGGATTTTGTTTTGGTTTGGGGAACATTTTGTCACTTATTATTACACACCGCAGATTTTTATTTTTCACTCTAGAATATTTTTTTTTCTACCGTTTGTAGTGTTTTTGGCTATTTGTATACAAAAGTGCACTTGAGATAAGTGAATGAATTGTATTCTTAATTTATTTATCTGATAAAAAATTGAAATCTGAAAAAAGCGTTTGTTTTAATAAGAATTTAAAAAAATGTCAAAAAGTAACCACTGTTATATACAAATAACAAATGCATGTGGACGTTTTAAAATACATATTTCGAAATTTGATTAATTTTTCAAGATTGTTTTTTTTTTTAAACAGCGACTGTTTCTTTTTTGTTATTTGTTTTGGTTCCGTTACCAGGATGCTGATGCTTCAAATAAAGATCTTTTTAAAATAAAATAAAGTAATTATAAACAAACAACTTACGTATCTGCTGTATTTTACCCAGTTACCCAGCTTCCGTTGAAAAAGTTAATGGAAAATCAAGGAAGTACTCAATAATTTAGAAGTGTGTTATAATATCATATTTATTAAAAACAAATAAGAAATATTACTTAGTAAGGAAATAAAATTACTGATTTCGGAAAGTGATAAGACAATTTGTCATAAATAGTGATATTTTTTACTTACCTTATCGTTTCTTATGATAAATGATTTGTAAACAAACCAACTTAAAGATAATAATTTAATTCTCGTTCATAATCAAGATAAACAATTTGTGATGTTTCATTTTATCTTAATAGATTTAGTAGAATATTGTTTTATTTAACAGAGTAGTCTTGTAGTAGGTATAACAAGTTTTTGATTGCCTTAACATTTTTAAACAAATATTTTATTAATTAATTGTGGACAAAGTGTAAAAACATAGACACAATTGTAATTCTAGTAAAACTAATAATCTTTCAAAATGAGATTTTAAATTTGGGTAAATCTGGCAGAGATGAACGTTGGCATTTAGATGTCAATCTTTACGTTTCCAGCTAGAGTAAGAGACTACTTAAAGAATCTGTCAAAAAAATTTGACATTTATTTTTTGACTTTTGACATTTTTTCATGTCTGTTTAATGATACCGATGATTTTGTATATGTTTTGTTATAATTATTTAGTAAAGGGACAAAAATTTTGCCAATAAAAGCCACAAATAACATAAAACAAAGTTTCAATTTAGGATACAACTTCCTTGTTTCCTCTTCCTGGTGCAAAAAAACTTGGAAAATTATTTTTCGAAGAGAAATAAATAGAGTCAAAGTGCAAAATTCAAACTGTCATAACTTCGAAGCTTTTATAGATAGAATTTTTTAAAAATTTTTTCTATGTTTCTGGTATCGTACCTTACATGGGCATTTTTCTCTGGGGCGCGAGTTCTGGCACACCTGTATATTTTCCAGAAAAACTTGATTAAAATTTTTTTAGTGTCTAACGGTAACAAGTTTATAGTTATTTATTCGACGAGTTTGAGTGTAAATCGGACGCTTTATTTGACCGAGTGGATTTTTAAACCACGAGTGTAACGAGTGGTTTACCATCCACGAGGTGGAATAAAGCGTCCGATTTACACTCAAACGAGTTGAATACAACATTTTATTCTTCGAATTAGACTCAACAAGGCTTAAACTTGCTTTAAATCTGTTAAAAATAATTTGACGTTTCGTATTGAGAAATGCCAAACAATTGTCAAAACTTCCTTACATGGGAGAAAAACCGTAAATTTTGACAGTGTCGAAAAATAAAACTTATTATTTGTACACAAACATATTAATACCTTTTGTACAACAAAAAATTATAATATAAAACCAGTTTGCCATTCATACTTGATTAGATCTAATTTATCTCTCTTTCCACTTTCTTTTCCCACTTCTAGGGGATATTTTTTTTTTATAATTTCAGAGAAAACATGGTAACAATTCACATTAGAAAAAAAAATAAATGGAGTAAATATGATGAGCGTAGGTAGGTACTACAACATTTATCAAACCAAAGTCAGCAAGTTTAACGTGAATGTATTAACAAAAATTGTTAGGAATAGAATACATTGTTGCGAAAAGGATAATAATGAACTTTTACACTTCAGAATATATTATTTTTTCTGAATCTAAAAGGACGTGTTTTTTATTTTGTTAGGTTTATAAGTAGTCTAATTATTAAAGTACACACTATGAGAAAAAACATCCGTGGTTTGAATTGAAATAAAGTCAAAAAGTGGTTTATCTCTCCGCAACTTGCCCTATCGTTTTCAGTGTTTTCCTGTTACAAATCGGTTTTCGCGCCAAAAGCCTGCTAATTTTTGTGTTGCTCTAGGTATAAAAAGACAGTCAAAAGTGATGAATTTTGAGTGATCAAAACTTTGCTTTTTAAAAGTACGAATTAGTTTTCTTCGAGATTTTCTCTAATCAATTCTTTTGAAACTTGCGATTACCTGTTGCTTCTGACTTCAGCCAAAATTTTCTGTAACCGCTTTAGACGCTCATTATAATATGCTAGTGCTACGTACTTTAAAATAAAAATATTTGAAATTTTACTAAATTATGGAAAAAATGAGCAAAAAAAACGCCAAATAGCGAAAGAGACAAACTTCGGTTGCTAAACTTGCGGAGTTTTTTCGTAGACAGCGTTTCCGTACAATGACAAGGTATGACATATTTATCGGAAATAAAAAAATAAAAACATTAAAAGAACAACGAGGAAACATATTCAGCAGAAATCCGACCACACCACCGCTGCCGTCAATCAATACCCGGGCATCGCGCAAGGGTGTCTCGCACCCCTTCGACCGCACAACCCCGCCGCCACGGTGGGTACATTCCCGGCTCTCTTTGCATCCTCTCGAGAGATAAACGTGTCGATCGACCTTCTTGAGCACGTGTTCGACGATGACGAAGCTTCTTCTCTCACATTCACGAGATCGTCGTCGCGTGAATAAGTGGAGGAGGATCAACACGAACACGAAAACGAAGAAGAAAGAAGAATGAAAAAAAAAAACTATGCGACCTCAACGGTACTGCAATCGACAAAAGCACGCTTTTGTTTGGATTGTATTCACTTTCACTATCACCGGTAGCTGGTTTACAATGCGGTAATAAAATTATCGCAATCTCGCTAATCGTTTTATTGCCGTCGTTAAAAATAACAATGATAGCTTTCCGACACTTGACAGATTTTAATAGGGATGAGTTGAATCGTAATGATGGGGTTTTAAAGGGCGAAAAGTTTCACATTATTAAGTACATTATGTAAGAAATGTTTGTGAATGGACGAAAAAGTTATCTATTACTAGTCGAAGCGAAGGAAAAGTAGGTCATGTTTTTAATCTGTTTATTAACATTTTTGAATGAAAGGTTTTTTTATTGAATACTTATCTCTTTAAAGTAACCATTTGTTAACTGAAGAATACCTAACACAATCACCATACATAGTAATATACCTTTCAGAGGTTGGTAAATACGTCATTGCATCTCTTGGTTAATTTGTTTTGAGTTTTTTTACGTCACCCTTGACTTACCTAACCTCGAGGCTATGCTACTTGCACATATAACTTGAACCCTCTAATGAAATATTTATTTCGCACCTTACTCTATGTTGACCAAACAATTATGGTGTCAAATTGACATACTAGATACTACTATACTTTAGTGTAGTTATTTTAACTGTATTAATATTGTGACATGTTTGTTCAATCGAAACAATTGCTACACGCCAATAGCCACTTTACACGTTTTCCGATCAAGTGACATCGACTGTGTCCAAAGTTGTACACATACAAACATTAATATTGTTTACATTACACACGTGCCGAACCGTTCGTAGAAGTTTACAAACGTTGCGTTTTACCATACCGTAATAATTTAGTCCTAAACTTTAATAGCTTTCTGTGTTTTATACTAACATAAATTATTTTTTATTTTTATTTTACAAAGAACTGTAATTAAATTATTGTCATATTGATACACAACTGGAGTGACACTTGATTGTTGTTGCGACCGTTACCAAGGAAATTACTTATTACTGTGACATTTGTCACGTGATTGATATTAACAAGTGTGACAGCTGCCGACTTGATTTTCAAAATGACAGTCATTTAACTTGTCGTAAATCGACCGCATTTTGGCAAATCGTATTATCCCCTTGACACACACGTAACATCCCGTATTACAATCGAATTAATTTCCAAGGGTTGCTTCGTAACGTGTGGCAACCTCGCGTTTCGATGTTGGATGAGATAATGGCAGTAGGCTGTGCTGTAGCAGCAACAGGTTGGTCTCAGCCAACTCCGACTTGGCCTCTCCCTTTTCTAATCGACACCAGCTGATCAAACCCAGCCGTGGACAATATTAAATTCATATTTTTTTAAAAAACAATCGTAGGGTGCTTCATTCGCTTCTTTACAATGACTTTCTTCCATGCCTGGCTAACTGCGATTGCTTCCGGATGTCATTGACCTGTCGATTTTACTAATATGTATATTTTTTGTGTTTCAGACGGAACTTTCGGGCATCAAATGGCGTAAGCTGGTGTATTGCGAGTTGGGGGGTGGCGGTGCCGCCTCCGGCCATTGTGGCGGAGGCGGCGAACCCCTCGAAGATCCGGTGTTACGAAGTTACGCCCGTTGTCTCGCCGCCGATATACTCTGTGTGTGGCGGCGAGTTTCGACGCCACGGTCGACCGATATGTTCGAACCGGGACCACCGCCGCCGCCACCACTCAGTCTTTCGACGTCGAAAGAACTATGGATTTTTTGGTATGGAGAGGAACCCGATTTAGGGGTTCTTATCGCACCGGAACTTAACACTCCTGGTAAGAGAACGAGGGAAATGGAATGTCGAGTGCATGTGTAAGGGTTGGTTGGGAAAATTAAAACTAAAACGATTTAAAATAGGCACTACCCATAATGCGTTCAAATTATTTATTAAAGCATTCATTTGGGTGTTGTAATAAGCATCATTGATATAATACGAGGGAAGATCAGTTATTACGGTCCCTGATATACAAGAACACAAGATATAACAAAAATTACATGATTACTTTTCTACATAGTCCCCTGCAACTGCAATGCATTTTTCCCAACGATGTTCCAATGCACGGACACCCTTAGAAAAAAATTCTTTAGGTTGCTCCTCTAACCAGTTGTTTACGGCAGACATCACTTCATTATCGTCACCATATTTATTGCCACGAAGATATTTTTTTAATTTTGGGAACAAATAGAAGTCACTAGGGGCCAGGTCTGATAAATAAGCAGGGTGTTCCAAGAACTCGAATCCTGCTTCATAAATAGCAGTCATTGCAACATGACTTTTTTGAATCGGAGCATTATCCTGATGGAACAGGATTCACCTACTCAGCTTTCCCCGTCTTTTTTCCTTAATACACTCGCGAAGTTTTGAAATTAAATTGGCATAATAGTAGCCTGTTATCGTGTGTCCACGCTCTAAATAATCAACCAACAGGAATCCTTCCGCATCCCAAAAAATTGTGGCCATAACCTTACCAGCACCTTTTGCTTGTTCACACGTCTGCCTTCCCAGTTTAAACTCTCGAGACATATTTTTTACCACTTGGTAAGAAGAAGCATTCTCCCCCAGTACAGCCACCATATCTTCGTAAATCTCCGTTGGCGACAATCCTTTCTTTTGCAGGTATTTAATAACAGCGTGCACTTCAGGTTTCTCCATTTTTTGCAAAAACGACTGACTACTTGCAATTGGCTTTCAAATAAAATTAAAATGAAACAAGCAAGAAATCTGAAACTGCACCAACTAAGTGACAAAAGATCAACCTTTAAATATGTCAAATTATGTCAACGTCACTTAAACCCTACTATGTTAGGGACCGTAAATACTGATCTTCCCTCGTACATTGCTGCCAACCATATAATTTCAATATTACCTTCTATTTGTAAAAAAATAAAACAATCTTTGTATAGAAAACATTTTTATTTTATTAAAAAAATAAACAGAATTTTAGTTGTGTGCGACGCTATTTTTGTTAATGACTGTATGTCAAGGAACAATATCAAAATTAAAACTATAAGAACAAAGTTTTTGTTGTTATTTATGAAAATTGAGTTATTTAGAATGAGAAGGAAAACTTTTTTGAGAAAGAAGACTAAGTTTAGAGGTGCGTTTTCAAGTGTTCGAACCCAATTTACCTGTCCTAATCCCTCAATCCTTTTGCCAAACAAGCATAATCCCGATGTAAAATTAAAATTACCTGACTTTCCGGTCTTGCCTAAAACTCGAAAGACACCTCTTTACAACACAATTGTAAAAACATTCTTCCAAACGTTTAAAGTACAATTAAGAAAGTTTTAACACTTGTAAAACACACTCGAGATGGATCTTTGTCGATTTACGACAGTATATTAGTCTTGTCATTACAAACACGAAGAATTTTTATAAAAAAAACTACTACTAATTGTACAAGCGGTGTTTTTATCCGATCCGTTTAATTGAGGAAGAAAACCTAATCGATTCTGACCTCTTTATCTACGTCTTTGTGACTTTGTGTCCTTAAATAACCTCGAGGGGTCGATCGAAATCGGCGAGGTTTTTGTATGTAGAGTACGGTTGGGAAGTGAGACACATTGGGTTGCATATGTTTTATCTAATAACAAAAGAATTAGTTTCGACTGGTTGGGTATAAAGTTAGTATTAGAGACCAAAAGTAAAGTGATAAAGGGTTTTTGGGTTCTCCTGCATCACCTTTCTTATTGTATTGGTTCGGTGATGGGTGGCGCCGGTGTTCCTGTACATTCCCGTGTGTAGGAGTCGGGATGCCGGGAGAGCAACCCGATGCCCGTTTGTTGAACACACACCGACGCCGGGATAGGCAAACCGACGCTGTGAGGAGGCGGACGTCGCGCTGCTTTCCCTCCCATGATCAATACACGCGCGGCCGTCGACCAAATCGGCTGCAGATGGTGAATATACATGCGAGATACACCAAAAAAAACAAAAAACATCAACGGGTATTTACAGGGTAGAAGGGCGTTCCGAGAAGACTTGTTTTTTTTTTAAACTTTATTCTTTTATTTTGAAAAATGTGGTCGACCGTGAGAAATGTGGAGGTAGAGGCGTCGTCGTCGTTGTCATGACGACGACTTCATCTCGAGGCAGAAGGCACAAAGACCTCTTATCGATGGGCTGCACGAAAGAGCAGCTTCGGGTATGCACGTTTAGTGATCGAAAACAGGGGCGGAACATGAAGGAAATGACAGAAGTGAAATAAATTTCTGATTAAAATGACCTGTAACTTTAAAATTAATAAGTTGGCAACACTGAATTATTGGAGTTATTAGGCTGTAAGGTGACGGCCGTGCCGCCCTTCGGAAATGAATGACAATTGACTATAAAAATATGACGTTTGAATTTCATGTTGCCAACTTAATTTTATAGTCATAAGATACTTTGATCAAAAGTTTATTTTACAAAAAAAATGTAACCGGCGGTTTACATGACGACTAATTATTATTAAGAAATTATTGAATGGTAAAATATATCTCTGCAGTTACGTTTTTAGAAAATTATTGTCATTTTCAGATTCACTGGATGTGTTTTAGAAAGTTAGAATGTTACTAGAGTTATAAGTGGTCGTCGCGATTTAGTTTTTCCACTTGAAGCAAATTGTTTTTATTAACAAAGAAGTAGATAATGAGGTCACAACGTATACATATTATAATGTTGCTTATTACGACGCAAGTGTATTATCAAGCTAGTTTCACCGGTAATAAAATTAGAAACAATGTCGACCTTTCTTCCCATTTGCATCCCTTTTTTCTTTAATTTTATGATTTTCTATTTCAAGTGTTTATGTAATTCTAGCAAACATCCGAAGATTAGAATTATGTTGTCATTCGCGTAATTCTCATTTACATAATTCGAGAGTACATAATCGTGATGGTAATGGAAGGTTGTTAAATCACAGATTTTATTGTTCGTTTTATTACAAAAAAAAAAAATGTGGTGGCAATAAATCATTGGGTGTACATATTTGCAAATTGAATATTTTTACCGAAATGGAATAATTTAATTATTTAGGGATTAAAATTGGACCCATCAATCAATGTCTGACAGACTTAAATTAAATATTTGGCACTTTAACTAACGATGTTTCAAGCAACCAAACAACTTTCTCTTTACAAATATTTAATTTTCTAATAGAGTATTATACAAAATTACACCTGTCATTGTTTACAAACGTAACTTTTTTACACATTATAAAAATTTTGTAGTCCAGGTAATGATATAATTTATCGGTTTTCACATTTACGGCAGTTTAAAAGTAGTTTAATCGTTTTATGAAGTTGTAAACAGACAGTTAGTAGGTAATAAAAACGTTCAGTTTCACGATCGAGTGGTCTGGTGTGGCATTTTTTCTTCTAATTTTTGCATGTCGATAATAACGGCATCTCGTTACCGACTCAAATATTTGCGTTCCGTTTACAATACTTTCACGCCACTGTTCCAAGGTTGGAAATACCGAATACGAATTTTCCAATTTCTCAACATCTTGTGGAAAAATTAATCCAATGAAGGAAGCAGGCACAACGCCAACGTGTTGTCCCGCACCGTACGATCTAGTTGGCGCGTTTCCCCTTTCTCCAAATGACGTCACATGACGTCATCTCGTACGTCACTTAATTGTTGGGGCTCCTCCTTCGCGTTTAGCGCGCGCATATAAACACACACAGAATGATAGTCCCCTATAGCACACATCTGTCCCGAAAGAAGAGAGAAAGGTCAATGAATTTACCGGCCGGTGGAGAAGTCGCGGCAACGTCGCAATCGGGAAAATTAATGTGTTGAATTTTCGATAATACTCTTTCGGGGATATGTCACATATTCAACCCTCCGAAAAAAGGGTGTTCTACACTGAATGTTTAAACGTCAACAATTTACTTTATCATCTGGAACATCCTGTATATCGAGATAGTTGGCTGTTCTTTTGTTTCAAACGTTTGCCACGCTACCTGCAATGGGAGTCTTGATCCTTACTTATCGACATGACCGATAAGCCAATTATCGATTTTCGAGAGTTGGTTTTTGATCGATTTGACACAGGTTTCCTGTTTTTATAGATTAAACTCTCTGGGTTATGAATATGCATCGCGTTGTTTGCGGGGGAAAAGTTGAGGTAGAGCAGTGGCGCGCACGAGCAACATATGTAGGTTTTTTTTTTTTTTTCTAATTCCACGATCTGCAATTCAAAAAGCTCTAATGATTGTGGAGTCGATTGCCAGCCCAGGTAGCAACGATGCATACAGGTTCATCGAACCGGTTGGACTCTCTCGACGGCATGTCGTATACGTGGTGCACCGGTTATTTAGGACGTCGTCTACACGAATTTGTCGGTTGTATTCTCAAAAACAGTTAATGATTTTTTTCTGTTTGTTTAATAAAATATTTTTTTTTTGTAATTATACAATTTTTTGGATAAAATCTGTGAAATGCGGCCGGATTTCTGGCCATTGTTTGCTTAAAGAAACCGCTAAAATGCCGTTTATCAAACGCCGTCTAGTTCATTTTTGTCGTTGTTATCCTAGAATAGAAGTCATTGTAAACCGGTGCTTGGTACAACAAAAGATTCAGCTGAGCAAAGGAATGTGATAAGGTAGTGTTCCGTAGCAAGTTTTCTTGTTGTCTGAAAGTCCTGATGGATTTCACGAACACACATCGACCTCAAAAACCTGACATTCTTTTACGTTAAGTAAGGTCCAGGACGTCTTGTCGGCTTTTAAACACTCACAATTTATATTTTCAATGAAACAGTAACTAATTAATTTTATATTAGTAGAGATTGTAAAAGGAAGTAGTACAGAGAAAACGTTGTTACGGTATTTCCTTGGCCAGATTCGGGGCCAATTGATTTGTTATGGAATTTAGTGTTTTTTTTCTCGAAAGAAAAAATGTTTCCAAATGTTATTTAGGAGATTTTGCTTACAATCAACAGGTGACAGTTCATCTTCTTTTTTTGTCACTGACCAAAACCCAAAAAAAAAACTCCATGTCACGTGCCAGAGAAAATTAGTTTAAATGCGTCGAGAGTGTGACGCAATTTCGCGATACCATCGCCGGTTTCTAAAAAGTTGAGGAAAAGGGTCGGTGGCGACGATGACGATGACGATCGACGCATCCACGCAACCCTCAGTGGCATCGATTGGTGCGGGGTGTCGCGTGGGAAGCGGTATCGGGCACATGTGCACCGCATCGTCGACGATCAACGAGCCGAACCCACGTGTCCGAACGATTTTACACTGTTGCCACGATGGGCAAAACAGTGTTGGAGGAGAGTGGGGGTCTCAAATTATCAACAAAAAATTATTGAAATGAATTTGAAATGAAAATCAATAAAGTTGGTCGAGTTGCTTTCTCCCTAAAATAAGAATGTCCAATATTTTACTAATACTGGAAAAAAAATTCTAACTATTAATGAAGTAAAATAAATAGCACACTACAGAATTATACGTTAAAAAAATCAATGCTTAATGGATTTGTCAACAATGCTTTCTCCTTTCAAAGGAAACATTTTATTTGTTTCTATTTTATTTGTCTGTTAGTTCCTGTATTTTTAATTTTTGCGCAAAATGCCAAAGAAAGTCGCCTAATACTAATGGAAATCTTTAAATTTTGAGTTACTTGATGTTAAGTTGCATTAGGAATTGCTGAAATTATCTTTGCTTTTATTCGAAATAAATCTGAAATATTCACTAGAGCTTTAAAAAAAAAGCAGAAATTGGGATTCTGTAACGTCTCAACAGCATTTTAAATGAAAACCTCATCGGTACGCACTTCCGTCTTTACTTTTACATCACCAATCGCATTTTTTGCGCCGTAAAAGAGCAAAAATCCAGCTGCAGGTGCTAAATAAAGGCAATAACAATGGCCGAGTATTGTGAATCGGTTCCGTCATGAACGCTGCAAGGCGACCTACTGATCTACAATGCGCAGAGTAAAATGTTGAAGGTCGTCGATGTGAACGATTCAATCTGACATCGACGTCGTAATTAAATTTTTGCGAGTACCCTTAGGACGATTGGACCCCTTTTTGTTTGATGTTACGTCAGGTTTGACACTACCCGAATGCCAACGCGCAACTTTCTTCATTTAGCAATGCGGCGACGACATCAACCTGTGCGCAATATTGGCCTCGTTTTTTTTCTTATTTGGATCGTGGAGAGTGCGGTTTTTGAGACACCACGTAGCGATTTTGACTTAAAATTATTCATCGTTGATTAATTATTTGACGAATTTTAAACGGCACGGCCGGTTCATTCATTTTTAATTATCAGCATTGGGGGAGTTTATTTTCTTGTTTTACCTCTTTGAAGTCGTTTCATTTACATTTTATACGCAACTGCTTTCGACGAGATTTAAAATGAGCCAAGTATTTGCGTATTCAAGTTTTGGAATGCTCAAGTTTCACTTTTAGCCAATATTTGGACTTTTACCGGCTCCTATTTGAATTTGCGACGACAAAATTAGGACGTGCGTCTTTGCGCGAATTAATTTAATTGGAGGATTCTAAGCTCTAACGCCCCAACATTTCGAAAATAAAATTGGTTAATTTAATTTTTTATGAAACTTAATTAATTGAAATGTTGACAAAGCTTCTTCTAAAGATATTATTTCATTACTATTCAGAAGTCAAATCAATTAGCGTGAATCTCAAGAAGCTGCTACGAAAAAAATTGCGACACGAAAACAAGAATTTTGATTTGAGGTATGAAATAGCTGTAAATAGAAACAAAAGCCGCCTATCCAGGCGATAAAAACCCGGTGTATTGTGATAAAATATCTAAAATAGAGTTCACTCGCTGCAAAGTATTAATCCCGGCACACTCCTACGCCTCTGACCTTGTCGTCGGCTTCATGAATGAAAAGAAAAATCCGTCGCGTATAGTTTTTCACGTCGTTTTCGTGTGGGCACCATCTCCGTTTAATCTCGTCGTGACGAAGGTGCCAACTCGTTGAGAGAGTTTCGTTCGGATTTGTTTTGTAAACAGGCGTGCGCGTGTCTTATCTCGTTCGACTTTTCGCAGTGAGTGTACTTTATTAGCGGTAGGCACGCGGCAGGAATCGCGATGAGAGCGAATATCGGAATTTTAGCTCGCTAAATATGCAACAAAGGACGAAGAATCGATGATTGCGATGATGACGCCGCCCATGGTATGGTATGGCGACGCGACGGTAAACTTGTTCCGATTTGGCCAAGGTAAACTGGCAACGTGACGGTTATTTCTGGACCCTATCACTATTGTTAGTGGACGATTTGAAGCCTCTCCATAGGCGGAGGAGGCACATAGTGACGATTAAACAGCGATATTGGAAATAGAAGAGTTCAAATCTGAGGAAAAAAAGAAGAAATGCGACACATGGAGGAACATGTGCTCGTTAAATCGGACCGAAAATAGGTCTTATGCAAGTGCTTGGCGACACCTGTATACGGGAGAGTAGGGAAATAAAAAATGAGTTTTTTACTACCAAAAACTGGATTATAAAACGTTATATTAATAAAGATCTTGTGATTAGAATTTTTTTTGTGTATCCTTACAAACGCAAATAATTTTTTGAAAAAAGATCATAAAATAAAACAATTGTTTACAAAAACGTACACTCCAGCGTCTGAATTTTAAGTTATATTAGAAAACTTTATTTATCTCAATTTTATTAATATTTAATAGATGCAGTTGGAATAATATAATACAGTAATACAGGTGTCTCAGAAATAATTGAGATGGTTTGATATATTTTTTTTTAATTCCTTGGAATATTATTTGAAATCTTTTCTCCAACTTCTACGAGTCGGTTGAAAAACAGATGCGATTAGATATTTTGTTATAATTTGTTTTTTAAATGACTACAATTAGGACAAAGATTTTGTTGTTTCTTAAAAAATAAAGGCACATGTGGCAAATACAAAATTATAAATGTTACATGGTTTTTCAATATTTGTCTTATTAAAGAACTCTTTTTTTTTTTCAAATTAATAAGAGTGCAAAAAATATTTTTGTCTACTAGTGAATTTTTTTGGAACTAATTTTTCCAGTCAGCAATCGATAGTATTGTTCAGTTAAGTAAAACATTTTAATAATGTATGGAGGTTTTCCGATGGGTTGATACAGAACATGTCTTAGAAAAAACAAATGCGTTTTTTTAGTTATGAAAATGATTCTACCTCAGTACTACGAGTACTAACAAGTTGTATACTAAAATTAAATAAAGAAAAAACAGTTTGATGAACTTAAATCAAGGCAAATGTGACTAGCATATGAAAACATGAGGATTTAAAAAAACATTGTTCTTATTTTGGTTTTTCACTGAAAGTTTATTATCTATGACTTGGTAAATCAAAAAGATATTTTTTTTTAAATTTGAGCTCCCATGAACCTACGGGAAGATTTTTGCCAGACTCAGGATTTCTTAATTATTTTTTTTTAGTTTTATTTTTGGAATATTTTGCTAGAAATTTATTTTTTGGCCAATCTGGAATACCTTTATTCACTCACCATCCTCAAATTTTCGTTGACATAATACGACGCAATAAGTCTACGAGTATTCCCCTTCAAACAAAAAAGGTTAAATTTTATTCTATACAGGCTGGCCCAAGAAAAAAATGCCATGTTAGGTAAGAAACCAGGAGCATGGAAAAAATGTTTAAAATTTTCAAATTTATAAGAGTTTAAATTTTGCACTTTGACTCTATTTATTTTTGTTGGAAAAATGATTTTCCAAGTTTATTTGCTACAGACTATTCGAAGAGGAAACAAGGAAGCTGTATCCTAAATTGTAACTGTTTAATGTTATTTGTGGCTTTTATTGGCAAAATATTTATACCTTTATTAAATGATTATAAAAAAACATTTACAATATCATCAGTCATTAAATAGATATAAACAAATGTCAAATGTCAATTTTTTTTGTACAGATTGAAATTTTTAAACATTTTTCCATGTTCTTGGTGTCTTATCTTACTTGGAGTTTTTCTCTGGGGCGTAAGTTCTGACACACCCTGTATAGGGGTGTTGTATATTTTTGTAGAGTGGGGTAAAAGCTTAAAGTACACACGTGGGCATGTATGCGTAGATGTCTAAAAAACATCTTGGACGAGTCTACTTTAAAAAAGAGGGGAGTTTTTGGAAACAGTGGCATGTAGATTCGCTTTATTGTCGCAATATAAGTGTGTACTTTTAGCTATGATTTTTGAGTAGGTATTTGTGTTTTATTAGGAACAAACATTTTTTACAAAGCAAAATAAAGAATTTAATAATTTGAAACAACTGTGCATCGAAGTTGTACTGTTTTATTAATATTTGTATTAAAGTATTTTTTAATGTTTTTTTAATTTTTTTTATAGATTCGGAGCAGGGTTCGTGGGAGAGCGGCTTGTCCTACGAGTGCCGATCTCTCCTCTTCAAAGCCTTGCACAACCTGATCGAGCGTTGTCTCCTCTCTCGCGACTTCATCAGGTTGGGGAAATGGTTCGTTCAGCCGTACGAAGGTCCAAAAAAGAACGACTTCACCATGACTCACTTATCGTTCTCTTTGGCGTTTTTCGTGCACGGTGAGAGTTCCGTATGTGCGAGCGTTGACGTACGGCAACATCCGCCAGTCCGGAGGCTTACCAGGTTGCATTTGCAACACGCTCAATCCTCGACGTCGGGTCTCAAAGGTACATTGAATGTTTGCTAAAGGCGTGTTTTTTGATGTTTTTCTTGCAGTGATTTTGGCTCCGTATGGACTTGCTGGGACTCTAACCGGTCAAAGTTTCAAGTCTTCAGACCAAACATCGCGACTGTTGGAAGACTGGGGCCACTTTTATCCATTGGATAAGAGTAGCAGTTTGACGGATAGCAATGTGGTGGAAGTCATCGTCGGAGGGGTCAAAATGAAGTATCCCTCGTGTTATGTCCTCGTCACCGATCTAGACGATACCGTCAATGCGTCAATGATGAACTGCACGGGGGTGAATCCCCCTAATGGGGTTGTCAAGAATGGAACAAGTAAGCAATGTTTTTCTTCTCAAACAATCTTGTAGTAGTGTTAAATTGTAAACAATTTCGAACGGTGGAACGGTGTCGCGCATTGTTCAATGAAATACGATGTGTCTGGACACAGACAGAAAAAAAAACATTTTATTGCGTCGAAATTTATGACAATTTTATATAACAAAAGGGAGGTTTTCAGACCGACCTGTTGGAGTGCCATTCTCGAAATGTCATGAGTCGTAAAAATATTAATTTATTAGGTGGTATTAATGTCGACGGGGTTTATGAAATGTTTTGTTGGTAATTGCGTTCTGTAATGACACCTGTCATAAATAAAATCAGAATTTGATTTAAAATCTTGGAACAGTTTATTAATTTTTTGGTTACGTGTACATGTTGACAGTCACGTCTTATGGATGTCACCTGTCACTATTTTTTATTGATCTTCTTTTATTTGGTCACGGGTTGCGTTTGAATGTTTCTTTCATGGTGTTAACTTTTATTTTCTCAGTAATTTCAAGGTAGTTGAAAATGAAATGTCCCAGCGAGTTGGTAAAGTCTATTATTGATCTTTAAATATTAAAATATTAAATTAAGCAATTAAAATATTATCTTTCTGCACCATTTAAAATTATTTCCAACTATACAAGGTGTTTCAAAAATAAGTTACAGTACAAACTTACGTTTTTTTTATGAAACACCGTATGGCTTTTGCATTTTTGAGGTGGCTTTTAATTGCGATGATTTTAAACCAACTTGTATTAGTCGATTTTGCTTAGTTTTTTTTTTAAATATCTTGGTTTCTTTGACAAAAACATACTGTGTAAAAAATTACACAAAAACATAGAAGGAGTTAATATTTATAAATTTTAAATACAAATTTTAACATTTGAAATCATTGGCTTTATCATCAACTCGCTGGGATCCCCTGTATAATAGGTCAAACCTCTCGTCCACTATTTCGCCCCTTTGACAACGTAATTAAACTCTATTTACGCATGACAGATTAATTAAATCTTTGAATAGTTGACTCGTAACGCTTGTTTTTGTCACTTGATTGAAATATTTTTTGTGTAGGTTCGCCGATACTGACCCAAACGCCGCCTCCCTCACCGATTCAGATCAACAGTAGGGTGCCCCAACCAGGTCCGTACTCGGTCTCCGTCGAGCACCCCTTATCCATGTCACGCGACGAAACTGCCGCTACCGTACTGCCCGAGAGGGTATGGCAGGAATGCATCCATGGGGGCCCTCCGGGATGCACTCAGCCGACTTCCAATCCACCACACGAATTCACCGGCCAATGGGATTTCGTGGATCCAATCAAACGCGCCAATTGTACCTGTTCTAAGTGAGTCACGTGATGAGATGCATGTAATAGATAGTTTTCAGTTTCGGTGCATGGCAGAGAAACAGTTGTAGTATTTATAGTATTGTAAATTAGTGTATGTTAAGAGTTGTTAGTGCACGATGCGACATTGCAGGTGTAGAAAGTACATGGGCAGCATGACGAGCAATAAATGGAGCACCGGGGGCAACACGAAGACAACCAACTCACCCCGGCCTTCCAAGGCAGTACGGGGAAGGGTACCTTTCCACAGGCGCTCCCCCGACAGGTTGGTCACTCGCTTCATGGGTGACGGGCTTACACCAGTGTCATTTTTTTTAATATTTTAATTTTTATTTAATGACATAAAATCTCACTCTCATTTAACTAATTATCGGTTAATAACACCATTTCATAGGCCCCCCAAGGTAGTCGGATTAATTCCTAGCTTCATTCATCGGTATCGCCCCCATCCTAACGAATTTTCTACGAGATTTTTAATGTTTCAGATGCTCCGGCTCCTACACGCCTCAAGGGGGTCCACCTTCGTATCCTCGCACCCAAGAATCGGTGGCTATTCCATCGGTGGGAAGTCCCCCATCGGTGGCGCCTTCACCGTTGCCGAATCCTCACTCGCAACCGGCTTCGGTGCCTCCTGGAGACCAAACCATGCCCATGTTGTCGCCCCATCCGCCCACGTTGCTTCCGTCACCTACCGAAAAGACACACACCCCTGATCATCCCCCCAAAAGCGTTGAAAGTACGGCGAATAGTCCTAGTTGTCCAATTGATGCGAAAAACGAACAAGTGACGAACGTAGCGAGTGTTCCCGTGTTGAAACGACCGGTTTTGAGTGTGAAAGAATACGAAAGTTCCTTAGGGGAGGAGGAACAGACTTTGGAAATGCTTTATGATTATTCGACGTTAGAAGCTTGGTAATTGGGTTAAAAAAGTGTTTAAATAATCGGTTTAATGTCTAAATTGTAGGTTGAATCATCCGGTTAAACGGTTCAAACCGGACGGAAAAGAAAACAAAAGGAACAAGTTAGGAAAGTCTGATATTTACTCAATGTACAACCATAATGGAGTCTCAGTAAATAACAACGACGTAACGAACAATTTCAATACCAAAAATCAATTTATTAAGCAAGAAATTAAACAGGAATTGACTGAAAGTGAATCAACGACACCTTTAGGACCTATTCAAAGTCATGGAGTTAAAAGACCTGGAGATCCATACGAATTTGACGAAGAAGGTGCTGGATCGACCTGCATCGATGGGTTTAAAAGAGGTCAAACTGTGGTCAAAGAAGAACCCAAAGACTCGAAAAAAATCAGTACGGGAAACTTATTCACAAGCGAAGGCTTGCAACCGAGTTATAAAGATCTCGAACAGATTTTTGATAACAATTCGGACGATACAAGCAGCGATGAAGCTGTAAGTCATCTATTGATGGTGTTTTTTTTTTAGTTTTAATAATATTTTTTGCAGATTCAGGTCCAAACACCTCCAGGTTCGACAACTTTGAACCACCACGAGGATAACAAAAGACTCTCAGGGCATGGAGGTTGTCCCACAATGGGTTGTTTAAGGCCCGAAGAATTGAGTAAAATGTTCCCAACACCTCCCAGTCTCGAACATAATCCTATTGCGTCGCCTTGCGGTCAAATGGATTTAGCACTGCCAGATTATACGGATTTAGGGATAGTCAGGACCAAACAAGAAATTTATCCTAATATGGGAAGCCCTCCCGAAGAACACATAGATGATTGGACTTATGTTTTCAAGCCTCCTGTTATATGTAAAATGGTGGGTTCGAGTAAATACGCCCCCTTGACGAACCTCCCGAGTCAAAGCCTTCCCGTGGTGACGCTACCTTCGTATTGTGTTTACAAACCATCGTGGATTCAACACGCCGAAAAGCCTCAACAACTCCCATCCACCACTCAACCGATCCCGAATTCAATTCCTAATAACCTCCACCAAAACTCGTTTCCTCCCAGTCCCCTTCATGGTGGTTTTCGTCAACCGCCGCCTCCGTATGAACTTCCGAGTCCGGCAACGTCAACAGCCAGTTCCTATCTTAATAAAAATTTGAATTCGGTTGAACCAGTGGCGACACCGTCAGTGCAACGGACACCCGAAGCGAATTCGCTCGCTTTAAATATACTATTGACAGATACTGCATCGAATATTTTCCGTGATCATAATTTCGATAGTTGTACGTTATGTGTGTGCAATGCGGGTGGAAGAGTTGTTGGTAATATTCGAGGAGCCGATGCGGGAGTGTATTTGATAAGTTCATCCTGTGATAAAACGCATAGTAGTGTTCAACAACCAAGTAGTCCGTTTCCGGGGGCTTGTTTGGGTCAACCGCCCCCTTATGGAAGTATGTTATCACCTCCACATCATCAACAACTGTTAGTCGATGAGGATGGGATTAGATGCAGTTGTGGATTTTCCGCAGTTGTCAATCGGAGATTGGCACATGGAAGTGGACTTTTCTACGAGGATGAGATGGAAATTACCGGAATTGCGGAAGATCCAGGTGAAAAGAAGAAACCATCATTGTTGTCATTTCTCGTTGCTACAAATTCAATTAAACTTGATCCGAGTATAGACCGGGATCAAGTCGATGTACTCCCTCATGGTCTCCTGGAATTAATCCGGGAACAATGCGTCGTAATCCCGAATACAGCAAATGCGTTATGTCGGGCTGCGAGATACGTCTGTAGTAAACCAAACTTTAACAACATCCACGTCCTTGAATACTCTGATAGTAACGAAGTTACGATAATAGCTCTCGAACAAAGCAAAAACATTTTTGATAACCTGCCCGTATGCAAACTTGAAGACTCCTCCAAATCGAAATCGGGGGTCGGTTACGCCGTCCATCGATGGCCCTTCCTACGAGCCAACGGTCCGCAATGCAACCAAGACATCGTCCGGGTCATGCGTTCCCTCCAACCACTCCTCCAGGAAGCCATCCAGAAAAAATGCCAGACCCGTCTCTGGGAAGCCCCCAGTGCCGTCAAAGGCCCCCTCACCTGGCGCCAATTCCATCGACTCGCCGGCCGAGGTACCGACGATCGCTGCGAACCCCAACCCATACCCTCTGTCGTGGTCGGCCACGAAAAAGACTGGCTTTCGGTTTCGCCCTATGCGATCCAACACTGGGAAAGTCTTCTCCTTGAACCGTATTCGTTTGCTCGTGACGTAGCTTACATTGTTGTGGCACCCGATAACGATGCGATTCTCCCACGTGTGAGGACTTTCTTCAAGGAGTTGTCGACGGCGTACGAAATGTGCAAGTTGGGGAGACACAGTCCGATTACGAAGGTTTTGCGAGATGGGATTTTAAGGGTGGGGAAGACGGCCAAAGCGAAGCTGGGAAATGAACCGGTCGAGGAGTGGTTTACGTTGTTGGGTGAAGGGGAAATTACCGATATGTTGAAGTTGTACGCGCAAGTGTGTAAACATCATCTAGCGCCGCATTTGCAACAAGTGCCGATGGATAAAACGCTACTGGATCCGCCACAGGAGAGTAACGATAAGCCAGCGCCGAGTCCCATGCCGCCCCCAAGTACGCCGGATAGCGGGCAGGCGGCGGAGAAAGCGCCGAGTACGCCGAAAAGCGAACAAGGTAAAATACTTTATTTAAATTACAGTATTCTTACCGACAAGGTTTGCAACTTAGATAACTTTTTTTGTAGATTTTTAGCTCTTTTTTTGTTTAACTTTGGAGTAATTCCATGCCAATTTTCGTAATTTGAGATATGTTATAAAACAAAATGAAGTACAGTCGAACAAAGTGAAAATGACGCTTCAATAAACCAGCCCCTGCTGTGGATGCCGACCCTTCTAACCGCATCGTAAATTATCGGATTGCAAACTTGACGTAGTTTCAAGATAAATTCCTCTAGGAGCCGGTTTACAGAAAGCGAAATGAAAATTTAGTTCACAATTATTAAACTAATTCGAATTAAGTCGCCATTTATTTTGCATTGACAAAAGTCAAGTTAAATGAAAATGTAATTTTTTTAATGATAAATTTAACAAACCATTTATTGAAGAAAATTATGCATTAATTATGACATTGACGAAAAACAAATCATTTAATATTTTTTTAACTGTTCCAAAATAAAATTATTTTATAAAATATTTATTTTACATAAAATCAAGTTTAAAACAGAGAAAGCCTATTTCGTACAAAAATTATGTTACTTAATTTAATTTTATTATTAATGCATAATTTTCTTTAAGAACTGGTTTCTGTTAAATTGTGTTTTTATAAAATTAAACGTTTTTATTTAATTTAAAAAAGTATTACAATTATCAAAAAATAAAAGAAGAACTAAAATATTTGAAATAATTTTGCCGTTTTTTTCCTGGTTTAATTAAATAAATAATTTTGATTCGTTTTCAATGACAATTGCAAAACTAATAGAAAACTTAGAGCCGGTTTACAGAACGTGTTAATCGCAATTAAATTTTAAACTTGGAATTTGTCAATGCAAAATAAATTGCAACTTAATTCGAATTAGTTTACCTCATTCTGAATTAAATTTTTTTTCGCTTCTACTCAAAGAATTACACCACTCGTGGTATAGGCACACGTGGAATTAATTTTTCTTCTCGCAAATAAACAATAATTTAATTCATTTGTTGTTTTACATAAAATCTAGTTTAAAATAGAGAAAACCTATTTCGTCAAAAATTATGTTAATTAATTTTATTCAAAAAAGACAGTTAAAAAAAATATTAAGTTAATAATGATTTGTTTTTTCGTCAGTGTCATTATTAATGCATAATTTTCTTTAAGAAATGGTTTGTTAAATTTTTCATTAAAAAAATTCAATATTTTCGTTTAATTAATTTGACGTTTGTCAATGCAAAGTAAATGGCAAATTCGAATTAGTTTAATTCTGAATTACCTAAATTTTAATTTGGCTTTCTGTAAACCGGCTCCAAGAGGAATTTATGTTGAAACTGCAATCCGATAATTTACGACCCTGTCTGCTTGCGGTTAGAAGGGTCGGCATCCAGCAGGGGCTTATTTATTGAGGCGTCATTTTCATTTTGTTCGACTGTACCTCGAAGCAAAAAAAAATATCTTAAGGACAAATCAACATATTGAAATGATATGTTTGTTTATTCAGCGTTTTATTTTGTAATGAAGTTAAACACAACACTACAAAATTTTACACATCTACTCGTATCAGACGTTGATAATTTCTTTAATGTTTGTTTAATTGCTCTGCCTTTTTATTTTATCATTGGGTTTCACTTTGAGTTGAGTCGCAAACCTTTTATAAGTTTATAAAAACTTTGGACTGGTAGTTTCATTATTCTTATACCTTTGTAGATGGAGACGGCATGAAAGAATCTACTCCGCAAGGAGGCTCAAACGCCGAAAGTTCGTACGACGACGACGAACGAGAGGTTCCCTCCGTCGTGGTTTACCTTGTCGAACCCTTCTCGCTAGGTTCGGACCAACCAGAGTTGCAAAGGCTGGCTTGTTTAGCACTTCTTCGTTGCTTTCAATCAGTTCTCGCAGCCGTACCGGAAAACATCCGAAATAACATCAGTGTACAGGTCGGTGTCTTGACCTAATTTAACCGATTTTCGTAATTTATTCCAATTTCCAGATCATATCGTTGGAGAGTATCGTAGAATTGGGTCGAGCTAGAGACCGGACGCGACTCAGCGACCACATGCGCGCCCTCTCATTGAACATTTTCAGCCAATGTCGACGTCTATTGGTCCATACGAATAACGTCAAGTCGTTGACTGGCTTCGGAACGGCTGCCATGGCCGACCTATTTTTAAAGAGCAAAGATGTAATTTTTAAATTACTTTGCTTGTGGTTTTAGTAATTATGTTTTTTTTTTCTAGGACAAAAATCGCGCTGCGTATAAATTGTATACCCCACCGTACATTTTAGCCCCCATGCATGAGAAAATCGAAGCGGTGGAGTCGTTCGGTAAAGGCAGCGGTGACCAAGCCTCCGTCCTCTATCTCAGTTACTGTCTCTCTGAAGATCAAAGTTGGCTATTGGCCGTCGCGACGGACGAACGTGGCGAAATTTTCGAAACTATCACAATCAATATAGACATACCAAATCGTAGTCGGCGGAAAAAAGCATCAGCACGTCGTATCGGCCTTGAAAAATTGATGAATTTTATTTTGGGTGTAATGTCGCAAAGTGTACGACCTTGGAGACTTGTTGTAGGCCGACTCGGACGGATCGGTCATGGCGAATTGAAAGGCTGGAGTTGGTTGTTGAGCAGAAAGAATCTATTAAATGCGTCGAAAAATCTCAAAGAGATTTGTAATCAATGTTCGTTGATGTATCCGAGTTCAGTTCCGTGTATTTTGAGTGCTTGTCTTGTGAGCCTCGAACCGGATTCGGTGCTAAGACTCATGCCCGATCAATTCACCCCCGACGAGAGGTTCAGTCAAATCAGTGTGAATTCGCAACTTTCGACACCGCAAGACGTCAGCTGTACGCATATTTTGGTGTTTCCCACCAGTGCGACGACGCAGTCGACGCAAACAACTTTCCAGGAACAACACATAACACCCGAATTGGGCGATGACGAGCTTTTCGGTGCTTTCACCGCTGAAGACATGACGGAAGGTATTGATGGCATGAATGACTTCAGCGATATTTTCAATTGGACGGATACGGGTCCCGGTGGCGGGCAAAGCCCCACGGGAAGTCCGAGAAGGGAAGAGTCGGGTCCGGGAAGTCCTAACTGCGGGGTGAATAACGGAAGACAGGGAAGTCCGTTTCATTGCGGAGCGACGAATTCCAAAGGGAACGAACAGCTGGAGGAGGTGGGGACGTTGTTGCAACAACCGTTGGCGTTGGGGTATTATGTGTCGACGGCGCCGACGGGTCGCATGCCGAAGTGGTTCTGGGCGTCGTGTCCACATCTCGAAGGGATCTGTCCGGCGTTTCTGAAAAACGCTTTGCATTTGCACAGTCCGAGTATACAGCAGAGTTCAGATGATTTGTTTCAGCAAGCGGCGGTTACGTCGCATCCGCTGGATTCGCAGTATACTACCGATGTTTTAAGGTGAGTGGAAAAATCCAATCTGTTACCACCCTCCGTTATCTGATTGTTTCAGATACGTACTTGAAGGCTACAATGCTCTGTCTTGGCTAGCGCTGGATTCGAACACTAAGGACCGATTATCTTGTTTGCCTGTGCACATGCAGGTCTTACTGCAGTTATATCATACCACAGCAGCGCTTTTGTAAACCACTGAACTAGTTGGTGCTTTAATTTTCGTCAAGTTGTTGTCTCTGAATATCGATTTTTATAATTCTGTCCCTTGTTAAGTTTTTTTTACTAGTATCGTGACGCGGTAATTGAATAGAATACTCATCGTGACGTAGATTTTACGAATTAACTTTTTTGTTGTGTAACAATGCCAATATCCCTTTTTAATTAAGTGTACAAACAAGAAAAATTGTGATATTTAGAGGTTAATTTAAGAGTAATCCAATAATAAAAAAAGAAACGCCGAAAGTTTAATTAACTGCCAGGTACTTCAGTGTTTTGCAAAGTGTGTTATATAGGTTGTTGTTTTATTTGTTGTTAATTTTGCGATTTAAAAATTTTTGAATATTGTAAAGTTGTAAATTATGTACAAGAAATAATTTATTTTTCTGTTGTTGTATATAAACATGTACAAAAAAGTGAAACCGAGATACTTAGACTGATAATAGGCAAATTAACTATCAAAATTTTATGTAGACCACTAATCGACATTTGTTGGTAAATAATCAAACCAAGTTTGCCAAAGACAGATGAAGATGGGACTTTGGGTACAATCGTGTCAATGTACATAAAAAACATTTTAGGACAATTTGTACATAAGAAATACTTAATCAAAAATTTCTGTCAATTTGCTACATTTTACAATAGTCCTAGCAAAATGTTATAACCGATGTACGTATATTAAATGTAATAAATATGTATTTAAAAAAATACTGGGGCCAATGGTTTAAACGTATCTTATAAAACTTGCCTCAGAGGTTTATCACTCGGGTGTTTTGACGGCCTGTGCATGATTTCGTTACCTATTTAGTTGTAGCATTTACTGGCGTATTGGACGAGTCTTACCAACGTACTTAAAAAAAGATCTCATCAACCGTATGTTGGTAATGATTTTTTGTTTCAGTGTCTTTTTTTCACCATACTGTGATTTTGGTTGCTCTGTGGAGTCGGTAATCTGATACAAAAACAACTAACTTTTAACAGTATTTTATCTTTGTAACTTTCTGGCGATTCACTCTTTTACTTACCTTCTTATTATTTATACTTATTTAATTTTTACATAATATATTTTTATTATGAACGGTATAGGACTGTTACTTGTTCAAATAGAGACGTTCAACATTTGTACTGTACATAAATAGCTACTGTTGTATAAGAATATGTCAATTTTAGGGAATTGGGATTTATAGTTAAATAAATTTGTAAATATTTTATTGACATTAGTTGAAATAGTAAATACACATAAAATGTTAATAACTTTATAAATAATTATATACATATAATTAGGTATTATTAATAAATCGCTCCATGAGTATAGCCACTCACTTTCATTTATCCGCTCAAAAACTTATCAAATTATCAACAGTCTGTGACTTCTCCAACATCTGTTTTTGCTCATTTTTCCAGAAATTGAAATCCCGCAAAATCGGCCTTCCGTAAGCATTGTGCAACTCCCGAAACGTAATAGTGATTTTGCTCGCTGGAATCGTCTCTGCGACCTGAGACTCCTCCAACCGAACTAAAAACACCCCTCAGAACCCTCCAAACACACCTTCTCCCTCACTCACCCGAATTGTTACTCGAGCGCAGACTATGCGACCTCTGATGGGGGGTACTTTCCGGCTTATTGAATGGATTGTGTCGCTGCCTCGGCGGGGGCACCGGCGAACTCACCGCTTGTGCCAAGGGCAAGGGGGTCTCTAAAACAACGTAGAATTTGCTCTGTCCGATCTCGTAGTTCTCAATTGGGGCAAAATCCATTTTGACACTGATTCTGATAAGATAAAATTAATACCTTCAATGTCATCCAGCTGACGCTGCAATTCCGCCACCATCAGCTTCATGTAGTCGTATCCAGCACACGCGAGGGCTTTCATCCACTGCTCCATTGACTCCTGGGACTCCGCCCCCAGGATGTAGCTCCGATTGTTAGCCCCGTGAAACACGATTTTGAACGTGAATTGCTCATCGTCTTCTTCCAGTTCTACAAAACTTCGACGATTACACTACTTTGGAGCGAAATTTACGTACCAATCGTGCACCCCTCGAGAATTATCACCCCCACGGGCTCCTTGTCACCCTTCTTGTCAAAATAAAATAAAAGGTTCCCTTTCAGGATGAAATAGCGGCGCTGAAAATTACGGTTCACTTCACCCCTTTTGTTTAAATAACCTTCCCGATCGACGGGGGTCGCCGAAATGGCATAAGTACACAAATTTTTCTCGTTTATTTTCATTATTTACAAGAGCACAGGTTAGGTTTTCAGAAAGTGATAGTGGGGCCACCACAACAAAATGAAATATCACTAGTTGTCATAGCAACTGATTTAATTGTTTTGCAACAATTTTTGAATTGGTATCCATTATTTTTTTAATTTTTACGTGATTTTGTTGCTTAGGACCACTAGCAATTTTTGTTTTATTTCTTTTTACTGAAAACATTTTTAAGTAGTCTAAAATGTGTATATAACTGTTTAACCACTGTGGTTTAACTCAGATTATTATATGCCTAGTTTTCGCACATTATTCTATTTTCTATGCATTTTTTTCAACAAAAACCGGTTTTTCTACCAAAACATCAAAAACAACGTTGAATTTGACTTTTTACCCTTATTTTTAACCCCTAACTTCTAACTCAGATTTTCCCAAATCATCAATTTTTTTAGGAAAATGAGTCGATTTTCAAGTTTTAGTCGTTGAAGTTTGTTGAGTTTGAAAAACAACCCATTGAGGTCTGTTCAAAACCACAAAAATTGAGAAAATGACCTGTTTTTAATCCATTTTAGCTACTGAAACATCAATTTTTTATGGAAACTACACTATTTCTTATCCCCTTTTTATAAATGTGAGCCAGATTTTCATGCTAAAAATAAAGAAAACTGCTGTTTTGTAAAGATTTCTTTAAAAACGTAAGCCAGACGTAACAACTGAATCTGTGGTTTTTGTTGAAAAAAATGCATAGAAAATAGAAAAATGACTAAGAAAACTAAGCATAATAATCTGAGTTAAAAAGTTACACATATAAGACTACTTTTTTAAAACTTTGACAGGTCAGATTTGTGTCAAAAAATGACGGCGGGGCCACTACAAGAAAGTGAAATACTACTAGTTGTCATGGCAACTGCGATTCAATCGTTTTGCCATTTTTGAATTGGTGTTTAAAGATGCCGCTTTTTGGCAGTAAATTCGCCCCAAAACAGCCCCCTTTGCGCAAATTTGCAAGTAATGTGAGCGATGATTTGGATGAGTTAGTGTCGGGGCAAAGAATCGTTCAAGTGCGGCTGGGATCTCAGGAATTGGTTTTCGAGAACGGCGACTGGATTCCCGGTAAAACTATGACAGAAATTGATTTATGAATATAATTTTCGGTTTTTGTAGAAAGTGGCGAGAGAGGAACAGCTCATAAATCGAATCAGAAGCTGCGAAAAAAGATTCAAGAATTGCAAGAAGAGAATAATATGCTTCGATTGAAATATACAGTGATGCTAAATATGGTTGTTTTTGCGAAATTTTGCTAAATTTGATTAATTGTGGGTTTTAGTTGACGCAGAGCACAGCTGAGGGACACTTACAAGAAAAAGAATTAGAAAAGTTAAGAAATAAGAAGTGAGAATTTTCACCAGCCATCTTGTGTTAGGTAACTTGACTCAACCAACAATTTTTAACATAAATTTAATTTTTATTCTTAAAATTTATATAAAAATATTTAATTAGGGCACTTATTTCTTGTATGGCCTTCTTGACCACATTTGCCACATTTTCTTTTCGCCCGTGTTTTATTATTGTACGGTGCGCTGCGATTGTTTGTTTTGGGGGCTTTTGTCTTCCAAGCTGGAAATCGGGGGCCGTCTCCGTCATCACCAGGTCCTCCTCCTCCACCACCACCGCCGCCGCCATCATCCCCCTAGTCACAATACGATAAAAAATAAACTAAAAAATAATTCTACCAATACCTCATCCGCCCATTTGAAAAACCCACACCCTTCCCCCAATGGTTTTGGGCAACAGTAAAAGGGGCGTCCTTTATTTGGGCCATCTTTCGACACCGTTCTCCGAGTCGCCGGTAAATCACATCTACATTTAATGACGTCATTTTGAACATTATTCAACGTTGCATTAGCATTTGGCTCGTCTGAAGCCCACAGGAAAAAATCGCAAGTTTGGTTTTTGCATTTGTAGAATTTGCGACCTTTGTTAGGGCCGTCTTTACGTACGGTTAACTGCAAAGGTTCCAAATTACAAGCACACACAATGTCATGATCCGTGTTTGAACGATTTGAGAGCCCTGAAGGACCGGGAGTTGCGGTTGTGGGCCCACTGTCTCGACGAGGATTTGTGTTATTTTGTCCATTATTTAAAGGTCTATTATTATTAGAGTTTGCTTGGTGGTTAATGACAGTTTGGTTATTTTGTGGTACCCCATTTGTTCTTTTAACTGATGAAAGGTTTATGTCCAAAGCCTCCAATACGTTGATATCGCAACCTCCGATACAAATAGTGTTGGGGTTGGGCTCACCAACAAAAATGTTTTGTTTGAATTTCATTTTTACTAATTTTACATTAGGTCCACACTAAAAAAAAAAACGTTTCGTTGTTTTGTTAGAGTTGTTGATTTTCTTCCTTACCTGTGGACAACTTTCATCTAAAACCTCAATGGTCTCCACATTTTGTGGTAACCAAATGGCATTTCGACAATCAGGATAGCCCGAACACGAGATGAATTTCCCAGTATTATTTTTCTTGTTCCTGATGATCATATCGTTTCCACATTTGGGACATTTCAAAACTGGTCTAACTTGGACATTTTCATACTGCTCATCCTCAACGATTTGGGGCCGATCAGCCAGCCGATTGGCCAAACATTCGTCAATTTGTCTCATTCTGTCGACCACTGTTTCAAAAACTGCACGATATTTCCCAATTTGTTCCCTCCTTACAACTTCCGGGTCTTTCAAACCGTCGCAAATCAACTTCAAGTCTTTTTCAAAATCGGCTCGTAAAATCGGTTTAGCCAGACTCACCTCTAAACCGATATTGTTATAACCTTCAACCAAACCCATTCCAAGGGTTCCTGGCACAAAATAAATATTTTCATGAAGACCTACATATTCGCGAGTTTTGATAGTGTCGATATGTTCGGCGTGGGTGGCATCAGTGCCAATTCCGTGTTTTTCCATCAACGCAATTAAATCGGCTTCTGTCAGTAATTTCGGGGGCGCAGTTGAGCCTTCGTACAATTCCAAAACAGTGGGAATGAAAGTGTTGCCTTCTTGGTAACTGTATATCTCTTTCGCGTTCCATTTTTCGTAAATGTACACATCGAGGTAATTTTTTTCCAAGATTATCAGTCCTTTTGCTGTGAATTTTTCCTCAGCGATGTCAGCAGTGACCACAGTTTCAAAACCTCGAGCGTCTTTATGGACACAAGCCAAGAAATGTCGCACGATATATTCATAAACACGTTGCTCGTTTCCGGTTAAATTATTCGAGTATTTTGTTGGGTGTATGGGAGGGTGGGCCTGGTCGGATTTTTTACCTTGTCGCGGGGTGGGCCCCCCTTCGTTCATGACGCGCTGTGCGAAGGCGCCCCAACGTTGATCCTCCTGCTGCAATGTGACCAAATTCGCCAAATTTAATTCCTTGGGAAAGATATTTGTCTCAGTTCGAGGATAACTGATTAAACCTTGGGTGTATAATTTTTCAGCGATTTTCATGGTGTCTTTAGCCGTGATTTTGAGTTTTCTTGAGACAGTTTTCTCCATTTCGATGGTGTCAAGAGGCAGAGGTCTCCACTTACTTTTGGGTTTACCTTCGACTTTTTCAACGGTTGCAGTTGGAGATTCTTTGCAAATGTCTAAAATTGCCTCGCAGGCGTTTTTGTCGAAAAGGCGGTCCCTTTTCCAGGTGAATTCGGTCGTTATTTCCCCGACAGTGTGACTCACTGAAATGACAATGCAGTAAAAAGTCCCAAAATTGTTTTACCAACTTTTTATTTTCCAAAACTGTTCTGGAATAAAATCCTCAATGGCTTGGTACCTTTCTACCACAAATCCCAGCGTGGGGAATTGACAAGACCCATAACTTATCAATTTATCGGCAAGTTTCTGGGGAAACACTCGTTGTAGTCTTAAAGTTTGTAGTCGAGTGAAAGCAGCCCCTGTTTTATTACGTTTCATCAATTAATTACTCACTATTAAAAAACCGACCTGTTCTTAAATCCAACTCCTGCCTGACATCAACCGCATCACTTACATTTTTATTAGGCTGTCCTAACGTATTTAAAGCTCTGAATATCGAAGCAGCGGTAATTTCAGAAAACTTTGCGCGATAAATCCTCAAATTTGGTTTAATGTCACTACAAACCTTGATTATTTCAAAACCGATATTTTCACCTTCACGATCACAATCAGTCCAGATTATTAACCCTCCACAGGACCTAATTTCACGCTCTAAAGTCCTCTACAAGTGAAATTAGTACAAAAAAATTGGAAATGCAGAATCAGTAACCTTAATTTTTTGGTAATCTTCCGGACATACTTTAACGACCGGCGCGTCGAATAATGCAACAGGATTACACGACCTCCAATTACGAAAACTGAGCCCGAATTCGTAATTCAATAAATGTCCTGAAACTGAAGTCATTACCATGTGAGCTTGTTGACCCATTACAGTCGTGTCGAATTCGTAGATTTTGTTGTAAGGGGAAAAGCCTTCACGCTGCAATTTTCTCATTACGTGAAACTCGTCACGGAGCATTTACGTACCCTCTGTGAAGCCCCCCGAGATAGAATCGCGGCGATATTTTTGGCGGCATCGTTTTTCTCGGCCACATTTAGATATCTCATGATTGATGGACTTGTCCTAGTACTACAGAATCTTGCACTTACATTTAATATTGAGGAAATTAATGAAAATCCCATTTAACATACTTTTTACATTTTTCAGGAAAATAACAAATTCGAATTGTGACGTTTGACAGCAGCAGCAGCCATGTTGTGGTAAACTTGGCAAAACGAAAGTCCCCAGACACGTGGATGTGGCTAAAGTGCCAACAAATTAATCTCAAATATTAATATCATAGGCGTGCACACAGAGAGGGTCAAGGGAACCTCTAATGGGCCAAGGATGCTTATGATTTTTAAATAATTTTTACGTTATTTCATATTTTTGTTGGCCTCCTCTTAATGGGAGATCCTGTGCACGCTTATTAGTATCGAATAAAAAGCAGAGTGAACTAAAAAATGGATTTATTGCATGTTTATATTTGTCGACAAATTACAAAAAATATGAAAATATATACAGATTTTGTCATACCAGCTACATAGTATGTACAAAAAGCCTTAACATTACGATTACGATAATAGAACGGCCACCCACATTTGTCAATAAGTCGAATAACGTGAGATCAGTCTCAAAGAAATTTGTATAAAACTACAAACAATCACTTAATACTAAGTACTGGCTGTATATAAAAACGTACATCAACACTGACTAGCAAAATCAATTTACAAAAAAGAAATAATCAACAAAAAAACGCTTATTTTATTCCTCCTCATATCATAAATAGGTCGTATAAGTCTCTGTGATCACGCACCGTTACACCATTGTCACATTCCGTCTCTTCTTATCACCACTGTTAACTGATGAAAGCGATCCTTGAAGACTGGGGTTAAAAGGACCTAAAGCTTCATTCCGTGTTTGGTACATGTGGTGTCCTTGGTTATTACCTTGATGTACCCCATATATGGTGTAATTGGCGGGATAACCGTTTGAATTAAAAGCGGGAAGTGGCGGAACCGGTGGTGGGATATGGTGCTGGTTCGGGTAATGCCCATTCAAACTCATATGGTCCACATTTTGACCGTTTAGTGACATGTGGTCGCCTTGAGGGTTCATCATGAGGTCCTGATGGGGATTGACTTGATCGTCCATATTTTCCATGGGACTGTGACGGCGTTCGTGCTCATGTAACAATTGAGACGCGCTCCACGAATTGTAAGGACTCAAAGTGTGACCGTTCCGGTTTAGAGTACTGTTAGAAATAACGCTCAATCCTTGATAACCTTGATTCGGTGTCCCTAAATCCCTTTGTTGGTAATGGACCATTTGTTGTTGTTTCAATTCTTCGATCAATTGTTGTTCCTGTTGGTTCACCAAAGAGTATCGTTTTTTCTGCTCCTCCTCATACTCATCTTGAATCGGGACACCGATTTGGTGTGGATCGGGCAAATCCGTGACATAGTGTTGATTCTGAGGCACATTTTGAGGACTACTAGGTACTATAGTGATGGTCGAACTCAATTTATCATTTTTGATTGAATTATTCGACTTTTTATGCGAATTTCTCGCATCGCGTCTTTTGATCACGCAAAAGTAACAATAGACGATCAAGAGAATCACCAATAGAATGAAACCTATAACAATGGGGAGGATCAATTCAAGACCCACACCCATAGTTTTTTCGATACTGGGACGTACTGGATCGACTCCCACCGAATTTGCGTTACTATTCGACCAAAACGGATGATCATTGCTCGAATAAGTTGGCGGTACAGTTGGCGGTGGAGGCGGCGATGGGACTAAAACACGGATCCAGTTGGAAACTGGACTACTATTTTCGGGCCAAGATTTCGGGTAGGCTTTTATTGCAAAATAGAGTGGTTTATCCAACAAATCCCGATTTTGGGACATGTCGAGGGTGTAAGTTGTTTCAGACCCAGGTGGTAGGGGAAAAGGTTGAGCATTATCCCATTCTGTGGCTTTTGTTTCAAAACCATCAATGATATCTTGGATGGAATTTGCGTATTTTATTTCATATCGTGATACTGTTTGACCGCCTAAATCGGGTGAGGTCCAAATAAGACGAGCTTTCATGTCTTCGGGGACTACTTGAGCTTTCAAATCGCCGATTCGGCCACTAGAGGTCGCATCTGCCGCTGAGATGTCTTCAGCGGTTATCATTAGAGTTTTCTTCGGGAGGACACGTTGGAATGGTGAGACGGGGGTGACCCCAGGGGAGGAAATCGATGATCCACAACATGGTTTATTATCTGCAGCAAAATTTTGCATCAGTACTATAAAAAAGAAATGAGTATAGTAAAATCGTTTTTCTAACATCTACTAAAAATTCTATAGTTTTAAGTTAAATGCGGTATTGTTAAGAGTAAACCAGAGGGTAAACAAATAATAAATTAGTGGAACCCACCCGGACCCTGAAACAGGTCAGTTTTTAACAGGGCCGGATTACTTACTTTCTTTTATCTAAAATACTTGAAATGTTTTAATAGTTTTGTTATAGTTGTTATTAAAGTCAAGTATTTTAAGAAATTTAAAAAAGCTAGGTGGTTATTAACAAGCTATTATTAAATAAAGCTGACTTTTTTTAATAGCTTGGAAAACTCTACCACTACGTTAGTTTAAAATACGGCCCTGTTTTATTCCAGTGGGTGCAGCAACACTTGCAACGTGCCATTTATGGAAGGTTACAAATTCAAGCCATTGTTTGGTTAATCCCTTATAATATGTCATAAAATTTTTAGTGGGTCTTAGGAAAACGATTTTACTTTAATTGTTTTTTTCTTACCATCAAACTCTCCGGATTCCGTCCACGTGTACGCCGTATTCCCGTTATCGTTGATCGTGACTTCAAAATTATACAACCCTTGTCCACTATCCTCGACATTAAAATACCTCGTGTAGACTCCATCGCCTTTGGTGATGTCCGGATCCCCGGAGCCGGTGTCCAACAACTCGAAACTTTTCTTATGCGGGTACGAGCCGTTAATTTCCGGTTTGGTTACCGTGACTTCGACTTTGGCGCCCAGTACGGGAATCTCCCCTTTTTTCACTTCAACCAAAAGAATCAAAGGACCGTTATCTTGATTTCTGTGCGTCCAAAATCTGGCTCTGACGACGGGCGCGGTGGGGGAGATCGGTGTCGCAGTAACTTGGAGGAAATGAGGTTGAGGGTTTCCGGGGTATGGCTCGACGACATACGTCCAAGTACCGCTTTCGGTAATATTTGCAGTCAAACCGATCATTTTGAAATCAATGTATTTGTCCGTGCGCTCGGTGAAGACTTGATGGGAGGGACTTATGAGTTTAAAGCTTTTGATGAGAGGCGTAACGGAATTATGGGTGAAAAAGGTGAATTGAGAAGGTTTGCCCATTGTGGAGTCGAGCATAAAACTCCCGGTGATGGAGCTGCGACCGTCGTCGGTGATTTGCCGCCGGTGGATTTCCATAGGGAGGTCTGAAGGGCTACCAGAATAAAAGTTTTGGACGATGTCGTAGAGGACGTTTTGGAGTTCGAAATAAGTTGAGAGAAGAGTGGTTTCGACGTTTAGTTTGCGTTCGAAAACTGTATAAGACACTCCACCCGTTTCTTCTGCGAGTCGGTTTAAAAGATTTGCGCGCATTATTGTAGGATAATTGATTGTGGCAATTTTGATTTTGGATTTTTTTACTTTTTCCATCGTTTTGTTGACATCTTCAAACGAGTCGATTCCTGCAGCGATTATCACAATGACGTTATTCGCCGGACCGTTTATTTTCGTCTGGTCGTTTAACATTTCAACGGCGTCTTTAATCGCACAGTTGAGACAACCAGCGCGTAAAATATCGCTCGGAGTGTACGGAATTTTCGAATAAAATTTATCAGTTTCGTCTTTCTTGCTATTTTTCACGGATACAATATTGAATACTTTCTTTGATGATTCTTCGGCTAGAACCAAACCGACTTCGGCGTTATCGGGTAAAATATTCAAGGCCCAATATCTTAACGCCAGTCTTAGGTAATTCCAAGATTCTCGTTGCATCATATCTTTGGTACTCTCCAAAACAAAGACGTAACGCGTCAAATTTTGTTTCTTGTACGTGATTTTAATCGAAGTGTCAATCAACTGATTACTATTGACGTTATTAATGAGACTATTAGCACTAAAATCTGAATGTTTCAAAACCACATCTAAGACACTTCGTCTTTGACACATCGAATTGTGTTTAGTGGGGGCATAACGATCGTGATTACCATCATCACAAAACATCGACACTTGTGGTGCTTCGGCGGCAAACATGATCGAACTTCGAGCCTTTTCATCGACCATTTTAGACGTGTTGTAGGCAACATTTGCCCCCGACGTACAAATTCTGTAACAATTTCATTAGTAAAAAATTAAAAAAAAAATAGTAAATGACATACCCATTATCACTTATCGGCAAATCCGAACATCCAGTCGCTTTCGCTTGTTTATTCTGATCATCGTAGAAACACATAGGGTAAATCGGGTCATTGTAGTACCCCTGCTCGTCGAAGACCCCATACCGATACTTCGCAAACTCCTTCACCAACGACCTCGCCACGGAGGCATCTCTTTGCATCAAACTTTCATACGCTAGATATATTTGATCACCCGGTTCGCCACAACCTAACGATTGCTGCGTGAAAACCCTTCCTCGGGCCGGTCCACGTGGCAACACCGTCACATCGGGGGTTTCACCCGAACCGGAAATGACAGTTGAGGATGCGCAAGAATCCGGCCATGTTGGCGGAAGCAAGACAGTTGCCGAGCGTAGAAAAGCCCTACTGTCGAGGGCGGAGAACAGATATTGAGACGCACTTGTAAGAGTTTCCTGAAAATGAAAAAAAAAAAGATAAGTCGATGGAAACAAGGCGCGCGCGAGGTCGTGTGAAATGCTATTTGCATCATCTTGTATCTCTAACCTACTTTCAATTTCGAGAAAACGCATCTTCATTGGCGGTGTTGTAACCAAACTAAAAGGCCAATTCGAAAGAAAATGCAGAATAGTTTATTCTGGTGAGTAATAGATACTTTGATGTGCCCCCTCGCTAATCAGGAATGCAAGACTATGTAGTGCATAGTGATAAACCTGAGGGTCTTAATTGAATACCAGAGGGTGCATTTCCGGATTTGCATATTCGAGAGCAATAAAAAAGAGCATTGGAGCGATTTACATGTCAAAGGCATAGTTTAGGGAAAGAATTCGCCCTATCGCCAGAAACAAAGGGAGTGGTTATCGGGAATAGAAAGGGAGTGAATGCAGCATCCTCTTTTGATGTGTTAAGACGGCGTCTATCATTCAAGCGGATGTAAATTAACAGTTTAGCTTCTCCTGAGCCGTGAGAACATGAAAGGCGCTTCGTGACTCCAAACGTTAAACTTAAGAAGATGGTAAGAAATAGAAATAAAAAAAACCTCTAAACACATATAAGAGAACGTAAAACGTAAACATACATGCGCATCATCACACAAGTTATAAATACCATCACCGAAGCAATTACGATGGCGAAGAAAACCAGCTTCGAGGTTAACCTTTTGGCCGTTATTAATTTTTTTCTTTGTAATTAAAGGTCGAAGCATCCTTTCCAATTTCGCTGTAGAGAAATAAAAATCTGTGTGCATTATAGAGGCTCTTTTATTCTATAATACCTGTATGTATTCAATTAGTGTGAAGAGACCTTAATTACCGGAATGTATGACGTCTATTATACTTCAAGAGTGCCGTTAGACAAACGTTTCGTTGTCTCCTTTATGGAAAATGACACACCCACACCAAGCCGAATTTCGTTATGTAATGATAAGGATTTTTATAATTACGTATTGTGATCGTGATGGCCTAGAAATTCCGTGTGTTGTATGAAGACTTTCACATTGGATGCTGAGTCGCCCTTTTACCTTTAAGAGATGATGCGCGCGATATCCGATTATAACATTTGTTATGTAACAATGCCACGACCCACTTAAAGATTTTGAAAAAAATCGTAATTTCAGGTGATTAGTGCAAACACGAGTTCTCATTAATTATAAAATATTAATAACAATACCAAGAAAAGAGGAGAAATTCTTCTCATTCGCGACGCGGTTCAAAGACCTCGGCCGAGCTTTTCCACCCATAAATACCAAAAATTTTCAAATATTTGAATAAACGTCCGAAATTTCGTAATGTGATGATAATAACAGCTTCCCAACAATTACAATTAAGAACAAATGTCCAAAATGAGAACAATTATCGCAAGAATGTAAAACCTAATGTTCCTCCAAATCTTCTCATGTTATTATATTGCAATTATCGTACAAAAGACAACGTAAGATCGGTTCATTACGATGCCTCATTTACAATTCAAATCCATGAATAATTTAGGTTAACAAAAAACCTTCCGAAAAAATAATTATCATAGTACATAAATCAGAACATTTGCCGAACTCGGAGTCAATAATTATTGTACTTTAAAACAAAACCAGTAAATAACGTAAGTAATGAATATTTTCCACGAATAACAACGCGAATGTAATTAGTGATTACCATAATTATGAATATTTGAATGTATAATTCATTGCACTGCTATAAAAACACCCACACCGGCGATGGAAACACCTAGTCGCCAAAAAATATGTGGTTTATTGCAATTCTTTAGTTAAGATGTTTCATTTACATTTCTTTACTAATGACTCACCTTAGGTCAACTTATTAGGAAGTAACTGTAATTATTGTATTGTGTAATCAAGGTATTCAAATTTAATTGTGGCTACTTTCGCAATAAAAATACATAATTAAAAACGTGCGTTTTATTTGCTCCCTTGAACATGAAACAGCAATTCGAAACAAATATTAAGTAAATGGCCATTAAATCACTTCAAAGAAATATTTTGTGAGCCAATTTTCTGTGCCCTATGGGTGTGAAGTAGGAAGAATTTCGTTTGTGACCTTTAGCAATAATTAAGTCACGAATCAAATCAACACAATGACAGAACAACAAAAATGCAAATTAAGGTAGAGGTCACATCTTTCTTGAAGAAAATCACCTTTCTGGACCACCCAATCGGAGAAAAATATTTATTCTTTAAATCACCTACTTTTAGTCGTGTTAAATTCCCTCGGTACTATTGTTGCCGTGTCCCTCATCCATAAATTTATGACGGATTAGAGCAATACTGTTAAAAGACGAGAATCCTGTGAGGCAGACAATTCCTCACCAAAAAATTTCTCACACTTGTGTCGAAAAATCGTGATTCGATCAAGTTGTGAACAAGTCCACCTCGAGGCGATCACGATCCGAATCAAATTGTAAAAATAAATAAAAAACGTGTGTGTGAGAAATGACCGAAACCGAAAGTGTAGTTAAAAATAAGACTTTTTCTGAGATTCGTATGTAATGCCGTTACGGACGCCACTGAGGTCAGAGGTTACACAGCGCGAGCTAACGGGAGATGTAACCAGAAACATGCTCAACGCTTTTTATCGCTTATTATTGGCGAAGAATGGCGATTTGGCGGATTTATGCGTAACTTACCGTTAAGGTCATTAAAGAGATTTGGGGATCGAAGATCGCGACCTTGCGACCCTTTGTATCAAAATTCACATTTTTATAGAAAATAAAGGGTCACAAATGTGACTCATTTATCGCCGAGGGTGCAATTTTCTAAGGTTTCCCAAATCGATGTCCAGTGGCGTGCATTATCGATTTCACGGTACCCCTAGTTCCCACACAATCGTATAAATCTTGATAATTCGTGTAAATTGGTGCAATTGTGTTGTGTGTGGGCAAATCCTTCGATTCTTTTTGTTCGTCAGACTTCCCTTTGCTTTTATCTTAATAACAGTCGAGTTTAAAGTGAGCACTTTTCTATAAAATTACCTGGGATGACTAATCAAAATTTTTAATTTAGATTTTTCCGGCGATTAAGAGTTTTTGTTATGCGGTGTGAACACGTCGAAATTCGATCCGTTGACACTTATAATAATACTTCACCACCAGAAGGTTAATGGTTGACACGTTTTATGATTAAAATCGCGAAAAATTTATTGTTGTCTCAATCTAGCACAGAGGTCACCTCGTCAGGTTGAAGACGTGCTATCGGCCGTCTAAACTTATCGAATTTCTGCAACAGTTGCACTGCATCTCGAACACCTGCCACCCATGAGGCGGTTATAGAAAATTTGAAACTAATTAATTACGAATTGATACTATTTTTTTAATCATGCAATTACCCTAAGGATCTATGATGGTATTTACATAATTTACGATCGGGCCAACGGTGGCTAATTAACCGTCACAAAGCAGGTTCATATATTAAATTATGACAAGTTGTATTGTAAACCAGAAAATACCGATCTTTGTTGTGGAGCTCCGGGCAGCCGCTACCGTGTATACCATTATTCTGCAGGCGAAGCAACAAGAAAAACACCAAGGCGGTCGGCATCGATATTGAATTAGGTTCTGTGGTTATTTTATGTGAACATCAATTCCGTTGCGGTTAAAACTCATTAGACGCTTCTTCCGTGTTGATGGAGAGAGATTTTAACAGCAGGAAAAAGAAACCAAAGCTGCAGGAAAACTCAGTTTTTGGACAGTTTTGAGCAATGGATTCGATTTTTCCGTTGATGATGGTGCAGCGAAGAGCCGTGGGATTGTTTAATCATCCAATATAACCTTGCCGGGCCTCGCCCATCACGACTGCAGGTGTTAACAGATAGACAAACAATCCGTATGTTTATTTTCAATTGTTGAAATTATCACGGTAGCCATGAATTTTTCTTCTTCTTCATCGTCTCACGCATCGTCGAAGTCTCCCAACTCGCATCGTTTTTTAAATCGTATCGAGGATAAATCACGTCGCTCCAGAAACGTGACTTGGACGAGTCACGAAAGTCGAAGAAGCGTCTTCGATTAAAATCGAACTTTAAAACTCTTTTGTTTGGTATTTTCGCATAGGTACTTGTTTATGTGAAAGAAGAGAGAATGTCAAGGGAATGGCACCGCGCGGTGCCATCTTGGAAAATGAATTATTGCAATGCTCATCCTTGGATGATAATTATGCAGACTTGCATTCTCCTAATAGGCGAATCGTAAATTGCCGGTATTATTGCATTGCATTGCGCTTATTTGTTATTAAAATTACGACGAGGCATAAACATTGCGTCATTATTATTTTTTAAATCTCTGGCGATGTACACACGGCAATTTTTTACCGACCTTCAAGGTAAAAACGTGACCATCTGAAAACACCTCAGGTAATCGACAATGAAAATTCAACGCTTTTTAAATTCTTAAATTAAGAACCTCAAGCATGTGCAAGAAATTTCCCAAATTATCACGTGCGTGACCTTTTCGGGCGATTTGTCGATTCTTGAAAAATTCAAGCGTGAAAACAGATTAAATAATTCTTGCACCCATTCATTGTTTCAGTTACGTTGTTGTAAATTATTTAATTCGGAAACCTCTTCGTAAAACGCTTTAATTAACACGAAGAATGAGGTAACAATTTTAATGATAATATGAAACTACTGTTCTTAATTTTTACGTCTAGATTCAGTTGCCCAATAAAAAGCATTTCAGCTCTAATTAATTCAAATTTTAGTGTTTTGAGTAAGAAAAGGGGAATTGTTTTATGAACGACATAACTGCACGACTCAAACAAATTCAAAAAATAATTTGGTTTTTTTTTTGCAATAGTTTCAGACAAATAAATTTACAGTTCCCGCCAAAAATTATAATACTTTCGATTGGTTTGCAGGAAATGAAAAAATAAAAATTGAGAATTGCAATAACTATAGCTTTATTTATTCATGCAAGAAAACAGAATCTTTCACAAGAATTGTTTAACAATAATTATAAAAACCTAAAATTTCAATTCATTTTTAACCGCGCAACGAAATCACCAACAAGAACCGCAAATTACAGCATCGTTTATTTACAGATTAAAATTATATTTATCAAGAAATTTTAAACAAATCGACGGCAATAACGCGCCTAATTACCAATTCGTAATTTGTTTGTTTATAGCTTCTTCGACAAGTTGACAGTCAATTCGAAGAATGCTCGAACTCCGACAAAAAATTTTAAAACGCTGATTGAATATCTGAATAAGCGGCAGATTATCGCATTAGAAAAACCTTATCGCCTCCTGATTTGCATAACCTCGAACTTCTTGGCTTTCCGCTTGTATATAAAGAGGGTCACACAAAACTGAGTTTACGCTCAAGTAACCAAGTAAAAGTTGAAAATTTGTTCATCAACAATTAGAGTCAATAACCAATCGAACAATAGTGTAAAAACTCTCCCATCAGCCGCAACTTTCAAATCGGATTTACTATTTACAATTGATTACATGGATCCATTTCCTAGTGATTTCACTGAAAAATTCGACCCTCATCGCTATGTGATGCATTATAACACGCATGAAATTACACATTGTTGTGACAAAAGAAAAAATAAATTACGGCCGTTAAAACCGTTTAAAGCTAATCTCGGGTATTTATTCTTGAAAACCATTAAGACACCAAAGTGGTTTGTTATCAAAAGAATTTAAAAGCCTCGAAGGACCCAGACGATTATCGCAAATCCACGAGTAAACACAGGATAATGATAAGAATGTCTTTGATTACGTTCCAGCCGGTTTACAATTTCTTCAATAGACCAAGAATTTTATCACCACCCACTGTTATTGTTTCATAATTAAATATTATACGTCTATGCACATTTTGTAATAAACGAAACATAAACCAATTGCACAAATGAATTTTTTACCTCGAGGTTATCAAGGACGATCCTGCAATCCTTCCGCGGGACACCTTCCGTAATTTTAATCACAAAGTCCTCGTAAGCCCCATTTTTCAATTCAAGCCCTTGTCCCAAAACCACAAACAACAATCCAAAAATGAACCGTTCCATTATTACAAATTATAAAACACTCATTATTTTTTCACTTATTTTCACACTAGAAATTGTGGCGTCTCGACGCTATCGATTGTTGATTGCGCGTTACCTAGACGACGATACGACGGTAACAACAAAATGTTATTTTGAGGTCGGCGTTACGGTCCGGTAATCGAGGTACGTAACCGGAAATCGGGACGACTGAACTCACTAACAGTCGGTAACGAACTGACGGCAAACTCTGGCAGAGGTAGAAAAGAGCGACGAAACAGCTCTACTCCCACTATTTTACGATGCATTCGATGGCCGGTATAGCACGATATCGAGGATGGGTAAGTGAGGTAGCCGGTGCCTCAGGGTGGACGAGGTCTTTAGAGCGGGTCTTCGGGTTGCATAGAGTGCATTCGATCGCGAGATTAAGAAAATTGGAATAATCAAAGACGAGTTTCATTATTCTCGCGGTTGGAGATGAATTTTGAGGAACTAATGGATGTAATCAGATGGGATCTTGCACGGTGGGCAATGAAGATGATACTGATGTAATAATCTAATTGGAAATGCGAATAATAACAAAGGAGGGAATTAATCATTTCTTAAATGGAAATTTGCAATTTCTGCCAATGCTCTCACATATCCCCTATGGATGTATTATGTTATGACCATCATAAATAAAGAAACAAAAATCCTTTTGTGGCTTTTTGCAATAAATTTTGACCTCATTTGTTGTTATTATCACGTGCAATAAAAACAGTTTTTACTTTAATTATCAGTTTGGCCCACATTATGTATTTAGGTGAGTACCTACAGTAAATCAACACCTGTTTTAATTGCAGGTGATTTTTATATTCACTTTTGGAATCTTTAACGTTCTTAAATTACAATTATAAAACAGTATTATTAATTAACTGAGGTAGGCTTTACTGAGACAACCGTACACAAAGTAAAATACGCAATATTCAAATATTTGAAAATCATAGAAAAAAAGTGAGCCACGTATTGCAATTTTTAAATGGTCTGTTATTTTATCTCTTTCTTTATCAAATATAAAATTGTATTCAGCTTACTTTATCTAACAAAATAGGCTTGGAATCCAACTATATATTTACAGGGTGCACCAGAACTCGGGCCCCAGAGAAAAATTTTTCAAGTAAGATAAGATACCAAGAACATGAAAAAAATGTTTATAAAATTTTGACATATATTTTTTGACATTTTTAGATTAGGTCGAGGATTAGGTACTATATTTTTATACCTAGAGAATACACATTTATTCACATATGTATTTATAAGTAATTCAAGAAAAGCAAAGACACTTTTTATAGATAGACAACAAGAGTTAAAGACTATAAGATTTGTGTTGTCTTCAAAATTTTTTCCAACACTAATATTGTAACAGAAATTTTCATAAATAGAGAAACTGTTATCAAGAAATTTGTCAAAATAATGTTAAAATTGACAAAATGCCAAGATAAGAGTGTTGTATGAACTTATAAAATACGTTGCAATTGACGACGTATTTTATATAGAAGAGCGTAGTATGTATTAACATAAAGAGGTAAGCTTAAATGCACCATAAAAAACAGTATAGTCTTTTCATATTAATGTGCATCGAAGTAGTCGTTGAAAGGAATCATGCGAAAATTCAAACAATCCAAAACTCAATCCTCTCTAAAAATGTGTACCCCAGATTATGAGAAAGCAAAAAATAATTAAAGCTAATTAACGTCGGGTGGCAAGCATACAATTTTTTTGTCATTATTGATGTGATTAAATTTGTTCTGAATGACATTAATGACACTATTTGTGTGAATTGGCCTTTAAATGCATTTACAATTTTACAACCTACTTGATGCACATTAATATGAAAAAGAGTATGTAAGATATTACTGACATTAGTGTTTGAAAAAAATAAATAAATACACGAAAACATTTTCTAACAATAACCATAAATAACCATTTTTTTTTCAAAACTACTTCCAACCCTTTGTTAAGTGGTTGAAATCCCAAAAAACATTATAAAACATACGACTGGGCCGTGAAGAATGGCAGCAAATAAATTATTCAGATTTTATTCCAACCAAAACACTAAGCTAAGCTTAGCAAAATTAATAACTATTTTGTATTAAATTCACATTTCTCATTTTTTTTATTAAAAAAAAACAAGAATGGTAAAATCATCACTGTACTTTTTCAAAAATTAAATAAAACAACTAATTCTAATAACAAAAACTGCACTACACTTAATTTGAATTATAAAACTGACAAAACAACATGTGTAACAGAATCCAATACCCATAAGAATATAAAAAAGAAAATAATTATGAGCAGAAGATTAAGAAAACAATGGATTTTCGAATTATATAATATATGTAGCAAGTTTTGATGTTATTGTCTATTTTTGAAACTTGGGAAAAACAAACCTAAGTATGTATAAAATCCTTGCTTATTTTCCCCCAAATTCCCATTAACAACCTCTCCTTTTATTTTGCTTTCCCCTAGTGTCGATGAAATAAACCAGCAGAAAAGCTTAATAAAAACACAAAAGGTTTAAATAAGCTCCGAAATTCTATCAATTATTTACATATTTACAGAGTTTCTACAGATTTATCTCCGAGTGCATCACCTGATGCACATTAAAGTGAAAGATGCATACAACGGCATTTACACGAATCATAATAACCCTCATTACTCTCACGCCTTGAAAAAGATTCATGAAAGGCTAATATGCGACAATTGCACTGTCATTAGTGAGGATAACTCTTTAGTTAAACTTTGTGCACGCAAATTTATTGACTGTAGAAATTACGTTGAAATGTTTGATCAAGCTTAAAGACCGGAAACAACGGTTTTTGCACTAAATAAATTTTAAACAAACGTTGAACAAACTTTTCATCTCCCTTTTTCTATACCTACATTTATAAATATCCACCTGCGGAACTATAAAATTTAAACGCTTCCCAACCCTTCTTTAATAGTTTCACTCTCATAAAAATGCCATACGTATGATTGATAAGGTCAATATGGAATCTTTTTTCGACCATAAATTCCTAAAGTTTAAATAAGATATGGAACAGTTAGTCGTGACATTGATACCCTTTACGTAAAAATTTTACGACCAAAATAATTATTTAGTTTTAAAATTAAATAATTGGGACTTTCACAAAGACATCTTTTATTGACTATTGTTTAAAGCAATCAGCTTTAACGTTATATCCAACATTTAAAATTCGTTTCACATCGCCTAGAGGTTTAGCTACCTACCTACAACATTGTTTACCTAATTTTATGACAAGATAATCGAGGACAATGAAACGGTAGCCACGAAAGTCGGAGAAATTGACAAAATTATTCCAACATTACTAACACAATTTTTTATCATCTTTGTAAAAGTTAATCACTTGATTTCCGCTCGATTTTGGCAATGCATGTTTGATATCATTCACTGCCAATTCGTGGTCAAGGTCTACATCCAAAAAAACCATAATGTGTGGGCGCACCTTCTAAATAGAAATTGTTTAAAACTATGCAAAAATATACAAGAATTCGTTGAATAATAATGATTCGATAAAAATACGGATGTTTGTTTTATGTCACTATTATCACCGTTAGAATGTAACAGTTTTTTTTTCTTCCCCTACATAATATACATTTAGAATAGCGACTGCTATACAGGGTGCGTCAGAACTCGCGCCCCATGGAAAAATGCCATATAAGGTAAGATACCAGGAACATGGAAAAAATTTTATTTATAAAAATTTCGTAAATATCAGGGTTTAAATTTTGCACTTTGACTCTATTTATTTCTGTTGGAAAAAAAATTTTTCAATTTTTTTTGCTATAGGCTATTAAAAGAGGAAACAAGGAAGCTGTATTCTAAATTGTAACTCTGTTCAATGTTATTTGTGGCTTTTATTGGCAAAATTTTTGTACCTTTACTAAATACTTGTAAAAAAACATATACAAGATCATCAGTATCATTAAATAGACATAAAAAAATGTCAAATGTCAAAAAATAAATGTCAAAATTCTTTGACAGATAGAATTTTTTAAACATTTTTTTCATGTTCTTAGTATCTTACTTGAAAATTTTCTCTGGGTCGCGAGTTCTGACGCACCCTGTACTTTTACCACTCAATGAAGAACGCGATCAGCGTTCACCAATGGGGATGCAACATTGAGACTCTCTTTAATGATTAGAGTATAGATTCGTAGTTGCAATTTGGGATGTTGCAAACTCAAAATTATTTCTAATTTTCATAAACAATAAAATCCGCTCAACTACTCGTCAAATTCGGGTCAACTCGATTTAAAATCATTTTTGTTGGAAAAATGATGAAACAACAATTTACAAAGTATGCCAGCAAGAAAGTAAAATCATCGACGTTTAAATATCCATTTCAATGGAAGAAAGTCGAAATAAGGCCAAATCAATTATTATTGTTTTAACTGTTGGTTCGATACTCATTCTCTTATATTTTTTATCTCCAATTTAATCAACTTATAGCATCAATGCACGACAAAACGACACGCCATTTCCTCCCAGAAGTTAATCAAAGTCTGCTGTAAATCCAAATCCCCTTTTTCAATATTACGAAAAGAAAAAATAAGAAAAACCACCCTATTGCAATTTCTTTCTTGAATGATATTTTTCATGGAAAAGGCACGTTCCTTCCGAGATCCCTGATTTATTTCCATCCCGAAATTCCGGAATCGACAGTGCTTGCCATAAAACTGTTTACAAATATCTACATAAGTGAATTAGGCGAGCATCCCCGAATCAAGCCGCCAGATCTAAATAACTTTCTGGCGGTATCTTAGACGTTTCCTAAGTAGTGCATTTGACAGTTGAATATATATTACAAAAGCCGTCTTTGCTGCTTTATATCAAGGGGTTAATTTCGTCTTGAATTTTTTCAGCACACGTGTTGGTAATTAGGGTGGATGGCATCATATACTAATCGCCTTATTTTTAGCCGAGAACATTAAATTGTACACGCTTTGATTATTCGGATTTTTTAACACTATTAGCAGCTTTTAACACCATAATTCATGACGGGAGCACCTGGTCGGAACGTTTCCACGCATTAATTTCTCCTATTTACGTTGAATTAATGCAAAGATCGTCTTGACACCTATTCAAATTTTCCTCCAGCCGCAATTTGACATGGCTTTGTGATGCGAAATAGAGACAGTTTATGCGTCTGCTCCGGGAAGGTATGCCGAAGATGACTCG